TAGCTGTTACTTATTTACCACTCTATGTTAAGCAGGCAGTTAGATTGAAACTGCACATGTTATTACTGATTTAGGTTTCATTTAATCCTTTGAAACAGAATAATTATTCCCAATTTATATGCCATTAAATCTTTTATGCACACGAGCAGCAAATTCAATTTTTGTTTAAGTGTAGAGTTTGTGATGTTCTTTAAAGGAGCCACAAAACACCATTGTTTCTGAGATTCCTAAGTCCTGCCTCATCTTGCTCTTCTCATCGACGGCATTTAAGGAAATAAAATGCAATAAAGCTAAAAGATTAAAAAGTCACTTTTGCAGGTATGAAATAAAGTGTTTCCACAGACACGCTTTGTGGAGATTATTTTGTAACCCATAAACTTTCATTTAATGGAGGCATTTATTTTACTTAAATAATTAAACATTTTAATAGAACAAATAATAGCTCAATGAACTGAAAGTAAAGCCTGTCTATAAAACACACTCAAGTGAAGGGGGCTAATTGTTATTTAGTGAACTTTGCTTACAGCAGTTACATTATTTAGATAATTTTGACCCAATCCCTTTTTTTCAACAACAGATTTGTGTTCTTCTGTTGCTGTTTTTTGTTTATTTGTTTGTTTTTTTTTTATTTTCGGCAGGGCCTCTCCACGTAGCCTTGGCTGTCATCCTAGAACCCACTCTGTAGCCTAGGCTGGCTTCAAACTCACAGAGATCCACCTGCATCTGCCTCCCAAGTGTGGGATTAAAGGTGGGCTCCACTACACTGGGCTTCAACAACAGATTTGTGATTGTTATAACCAGACATTTGTCCCAAGTTATTGCCAGGACCAATTTCAACTCAAGGTGGACCTGGGAATAAAGGGGAAATAAATGATCTAAACAGCACATGATAGTGATCTCAATGTACAATCCTGGCACCTCACTCTACTGAGATGACAGTGAAGCAGGACGGAGGCTACCCCGTCCCAAGAAACGCCATATTTCTATAGTGGTCTTGACCAGGGTTCTGCTGAATCCCGTTAAGGAAAAGCTTCTCCTGGTCAATGGAGTCTACCTCTAGTCTGGGTATGAACCTAACATTGCAAGCTACTCAAAACATAAGAGTCAGTCTAGTTAAATTGATCAGTCATCTGGCTAAGGAGCCACCCCTCAGGAAGGTGGATTCCCTTAATGCCATGTTAAAAAGAATAATTATCCCTTTAATGAGATAATGTACCTTTCCTTCCCAGAAAACTTGGTTTTTATTCAGTACCTAAAGGCCTGCCACGAGGCTCTGTTAAGTGTGTCTATTGATTTTCCCATGATGTTAAATATAAATTCCAATACCATTAATCTGATATTTAAAATGTAAAATATAAGTTCTCTAAAGAAAACCTAAATACCCCAAAGTCTTAAAAGTTGAGGCCCTGACTCAGAAAGGTATATTTCCCCCTTTCCTTTTTTCTATCTATTTCTTTTACATGGTGGCCAGAGCATAAATATTTTTTTCCCTCTGGTACTTTGGGCTTTTTTTTATTTTTAATGTTCTCTCTGAAGCTCTCTCCCTTTTGCTCTGTAGCTGCTTCCTGAACCTCTATGCCTAACTCAAAGAGGTGCGGCCTTTTCCTCTTATTAATTTTTATTTTTTTATTTCATGTGTATGGGTGTATGTATGTGTATGTACCACTTGCATCAATGCCTAAGGAGGCCAGAAGAGGGCATCAGATCCCCAGAGGCTTGTGAGGCACCATGTGTGTTCTGGGAACCAAACCCCAGGTCCTCACAAGAGCAGCAAGTGCTCTTAATTGCCGAGCTATCTCTCCAGGCCCCTTCATCCTTCTTCCTCCTCCTTCTTCTCCTTCTTCTTCTTCCTCCTCCTTCCTCTTCTTTCTCTTCTTCATCTTATTCTTCTTCCTCTTCCTTCTTCCTATTCCTTTTCCTCCTCCCCTTCCTCCTCCTCTTCTTCCTCTTCCTCCTTCTTCACGAGTAAGATGGGGCTCCTCAAAATTTCCGGTAATTGTGGCACAGCATTTGGAGCCACATTTTCTCTCTCCAAGTGAGAGTTTATGACATGACTTGTGGACATTTTCTATGGAAAGTTTGAGTGTTCCTTTTACTCACCAAAACAATGGTTAAGAGTAGAGATTTTTCTTTTGAGATGGGTGTCTAGCCTTGAACTTCTTATTAGCTCAGAAGGAACTTTGGACCATTCTGACTCTCACTCCTTAGTCCTGGGATTACAACATACACCACCATGCCCAGTTTCTGCCGGGCTGGGGATTGAACCCAGGGCTTTGTGCATGCTAGGCAAGCACTCTAGCCACTGAACCACATCCCTAGCCCAAGGGCTCAACTTTTAAGACTTTGGGGTATTCATACCTCCTTTAGACAGCGCACATTTTACACTTTAAATATCAGATTAATGGTATTAAAATTTGTATTTGACAACAGGGGGAAAACACTGGACAGGTCTTACCCCTGTGTGGTAGTTTGGATGGTCATGGCCACTGTAGGCTCATATATTTGTATGCTTAGTCCCTAGTTGGTGGAACTGCTTTGGGAAAGATTAGGAAGTGTAGCCTTGTTGGAGGAGGTGGGGTTTGAGGTTTCAAATGCTCATGCTGGGCTTAGCCTCTTTCTGCTACAAACTTGTGGATCCGATCTCTCAGCTACTGCTCCAGTGCCAAGCCTGCCCGACATCGTGCTTCCTGCCACGATGACCATGGACTCAACCTCTGAAACTATAAGGAAAATCCCAATTAAGTGATTTTTTTTTCAATAAGTTCCCTCAGTCACAGTGTCTCTTCTCAGCGATAGAAAAGAAATTAAGACACCCTGTGAGCAGGTCCTGTCACTGACTGACCAATGGTGTAAGCTTGAACAGCTCTCTTAGTTCTCTAGGGCATGGCTCCTCCTTTTGTATAACAGGAAAACTGGCTGACTTTCCACACTCTAAAAGGTCTAAGAATCCATCACTGTATGAGTTAGGGTGGGCTTATTGTGTAAATCGTCTCAATGTTAGTAAGTATTGGGAAAATCATTTCATTTAAATATAACACATTACCAATTATACTAACAAGATTATAAAAACTAGAACTGAAAATGTATTAAACTGGGTTTGATGACTCACAGTGGGAATCTCAGCACTTAGGAAGGACTTCCATGCGTTCAAGCTCAGCCTAAGCTACACAGTGAAACTCTGCCTCAATGACCAGATGGATCCACAAAAAAAAAAAGGCATTCTATTCTCCTGACCCAAGTGACCCACCCCAAAAGTTGCCTTTTGATTTCTGTGACTGCACCATGATACCAGTGTTTCCCCCATACAAATAAATTATTTTTTTTAAAGAATGGAGGTTGAAAACTATATCAATCAAAGTTTTCTATATTTTTCAACTTGTGAGAAAGTGGAAGTAGATCATAAATTGAACTATCCCCTTAGTAACTTGCTATAATATTCTTGATAAACTCACAGGATTGTGGGTAATAAATTTTACTTTCTAGGTTTTTTAAAAAACTGGCTGTTTACTTACTTGAGCACAAAAACATACCCCAGTTTTGAAATAAACAAGTAAGGAACTAGCAGATATTTCTGGGGCGCAATAATGGAGAGTCCCCATGAGTCTCTGCGGCTTTAGCATTTCTGGCAGGAGCTTGGTCTTTAATAGACATAATCCATGCTCCCACACACTCCTTACTTCCTCTATGACAGTCCACCTGTCATGATAGCCCCACGCCTGCTCTGAGGGTTTAACTAAGAAGTTAGTGAGCCTGTGAACGAATGTAAAGCAGAAAGAGCTAATACCTACAACAAAAAACACCACTCTGATATAACTATTCCCCACATGGTTTGAAATAACTAAGGTTTAAGCTGCTGTTCCCCCCACTCCAAATCATTTAGGACTCCCAGAACGTGGTATAACAGGGCAATACATTTAAAGAGACTGGCCAACCAACGGCCTTAAATGGAAGGTTTACCTATCAACAGAAATAGCTGTTAACACAGATGAATGACATTAGAAAGGAGCAGGAAGGAAAGGTGATTCCCATAACTTTCTGGAATGGTCTTCATAATCCTAGAACATTAGAACCAGTCTTAAATGTTTTTCTTGTGTTCCCAACTGATGAAACAAACAAACAAACAAACAAACCACAACCCTTATAAGGGACATGAGTCTAGTCTCAGCTTAAATATTTCCCAAATTCCAGAAAACAGCTGGAAGGAAAAAAGGAAGGAAAAGAGCTGGAGAAATTTGGGAGGAATGGAAACTTACGGTATTTGATCACCACTAAGGCTTTCTTTATCCACTCTGTTTGTTTTGACTCTTCAACACTCCTCTTCAAGCCCTAGCATTCATCATCCAACACCTTTCCTGATTCTTGTATTATTACTAGGAGCAACATACCTTAAAGCACCCAAGCCGGCGCGGGGGTGGGGGGAATGTATCCTATAACACAGTTTTCAAAAATTTGATTTTTACCAAGTCAGTCCCCCACCCCTTTCCAACAATTCTTGAATGCTTAACTGAACTGGTAATGGCCCACCGTGCTACCTGCCTCCTGTTGATACCTACCTAGTGCACAGTGCATCCTTAGTCAGGACACAACCCCTTTGCATACGGATACTGTGGTTTCCAGGTGATATGAGAGGAAACTACCACTGAGCACTCTAATGTACACATGGCTGTGTCCCAGGGCAATTGCTTAAGAATAGAAGCTAAGGGCTGGAGGGATGGTTCAGAGGTTAAGAGCACAGGCTGTTCTTCCAGGGGTCATGAGTTCAATTCCCAGCAATCACATGGCAGATCATAACCATCTATAATGAGATCTGATGCCCTCTTCTGGCCTGCAGGCATACATTCAGACAGAAAAGAATAGAGGCTACTGTGATCCCTGACCTCATTGTCCAAGGAGAAACACAGTAAATGTCAGCTTATTCAGAGGACTCAATATCCTTTAGACAACTTTGTTGCTTTATAAAAATGTGTAATTCCGCCACCTTTGCCTGCGCCCATGCGAGCCGAGCAGATCTCCATGCACCGAGCATCCAGAGAGTCGCGCCGCATGCCAACGGAGCAGACATGGGCAGAGCGATGGTGGCCAGACTGGGCCTGGGGTTGCTGCTTCTGGCACTGCTCCTACCCACACAGATCTATTGCAACCAAACATCTGTTGCACCGTTTTCAAGTAACCAGACTATCTCTACTGCCCCAAATCCAACTAATGCCACCACCAAAGCAGGTGGCAGTGCCCTGCAGTCAAAGGCGAGTCTCCTCGTGGTCTCACTTTCTCTTCTACATCTCTGCTGTTTGAGACTCGGGCCAAGAAACATCTCTACTTCCCCATCTTCTAGACCCACCCCAATGGTAACCACAAGTCCAGTGTGACCCGGAAGAAACAGGTCCACATCAAATCTGCTATTACCACCCCTCAACAGAAAACCTTGAGAATTCATGTGAAGGATGTGACAGACAGTGAATACCAATATTGAATCTGTTAGAGTTCTATGTTCAAGATGAAGAGTGATAACATCTGAAGTTGACATGATTTCCTTGAATGTGACTTAAGAAATGTGGACACTTAAAACTGTAACTTGAAATCAAGCATAGGTTTTATGTAGAGATAAGGATGGGATGTAGGGTAGAGATTGTTTTCATTGGCTCATTCAACCTAGGTGATACTAAAAGGCTTCTCTGATGCTATTTATGTATATGTTGGAAGGAACTATCAGGTGTTACTTTAAATCCTCAGTGTATTGTTTCATTACTACTAATTTAATATGCTAAACTCTAGTTAAGTTCCACATTGTTGAGCTGTTCTCTTTGGAACTGAGCATTATACCCCCTCCTGTGGCTTTAGGCTTGACATTATATTTGACCTTTATTAGTAATTGACATATGCCAGGCAAGGATGGATTGGAACCCACCCCCAAATCCAGCCATCACTGAATAAATCGTACTTCAAAAGTCAAATAGTAGGTGTTTTCCATCATCTTTTTTCACTCAACCAGAGTGCCAGATCCCCTTAAGTAAACTGGTTCCAGAGAGCAGAATTACGTTGACCTCCGCCAATGTCAAAATGCTGCTTTTTATTTCTGCATATGTTGAGGGGTTTTCATAATTTAAGGTGTGGTCTGTTAGGAAAGTGAAATTATGAATCTTGACATTCTAAAGGCAAATATGCAAAGGAGCCAAAACCATAAACCTAGCAGTTGGGATGTGAAGACGGAAGACGACTTGCATTGAATTCACAAAGTCTTTTATACAATTTCTGTAAATACTTTTTTTAAAAGAGAAAAACAAAACAATGGATCAGAATAGCCACATTTGGAATACTTTGGTTATCAGTTCTTATTTTTAGATAGTTTGACATTGGTCCTGTGCCTGAGAGGGGGCTTGGTTCTGCAGTAAGTTTTTCCAATGCCTCGATACACTCTTATACCTTTTAAAAAATAGACATTCCTTGAAAAAAAAATCTTTTGTTCGCATGGTCACACACTGATGCTTACACACTCTGGGATCTCATATGGCCACAGTAGTCTTGATAACCAGAGTCATTTTCTCCACCTTTAGAAGCCTCCCTGGGAACAAGGAGACCTCACAGACCCGAAGCTACTGTGTGTGTGAATGAACACTCCCTCTTGCCTCGTACCTGAATGCTGGACATCCATTTGATTGTATATTGTGTTTGTGTATTTATGCTTTGATTCATAGTAACTTCTCTGTTATGGCATTGATTTGCATTGAACACAAACTGTAAATCAAGGAAAGAAATGGCTGGAAAAAAATGTATAATTCCACATGCTCATTTACTCTGGCGTCAGTTTAGTCCATCCTGAGATGGTTCTATCTTCTATTCTTATTATCTTTGTGTGTGCATGTGCATGTCAATCAGTGCAGGTGTGGAGGTCAGAGGACAACTTGTGCGAGTTGGTCCTCTCCTTCCCCCATGTGGGTCCAGAGGAGTCAAACTTAGGTCCTCAGGCTTGGTAGCAGGTGTCTTTACCTGCTGACCCATCTCAACGGTCCTATGGTCAACGTTTCACTAGTTAGTAAAGTGGAATCCATGATTGCATATTCATTTACTCCGTTGACTTATTCATTTTATGTGTGTGTGGGTGCACACACTGTACATGTGGAGGTCAGAGGACAATGTGTGGGGTCGGTTCTTTCCTTCTCCTCTATGGGTCTTGGGGATCAAACTCAGGTCACCAGGCTTGGTGCTACGTAAACCCTTGATGGTAAGACACTTAGACCCATGATTACATGTTCACAGTGAGAGCCTTGAGCTGAGTCATTGAGAAGCTTACGGGTTTAACACATGCCCAGGAGCTTCGGTTTCTTATCGGCAAAGTAATGGTAACGCCCAAGGCAGGGGCTCACACATGTCCAGTCCCGAGTTCACTCCCTAGCACCATATTAAGGACAAAGTTTTTAAAATTAAATTAAGCCTATCTAGAGGCTCCAACTAAGATAAAGGAAGTAACATAGGAAGCAAGTAGCTCTGCAATTGAAAGAATTATATAAATACTCCTACAAACAAGACGGGAGTAAGCACATATGCTTGGTACTGGATGGTGGCTTTCTGACTTTCTTTCTTTTTCTTTCTTTCTTTTTAAATGCACAAGACTTTAGAAGGCTTCAGACTAAAGAGGTTGTTTCTGACGCCCTGGGCATTACATTGATCTTCTTCTTTGTGAGTGCTGAGTGTCACGAGGCTCATTCTGGAGTGGGGCTTAAGGATTATCACACGATGATCCTCTCTCCACTCTTGATTCATTCACCCCTGTCAATGCTGCTCCAATTTCCATTAAGTAAAGGGTTTTCTCTAATCCATAGATCCTGAACTGTGGCTTTGACTTCTGGAGGTTCTAGTCATATCAAAACCTAAGTGTGGGGCTAAGTGATTTGTCAGGCAGCTTTTAAAATTATTGCTTATAAAAGCAAGAAGAAAGGTTTGTCTTGGTTTAAGGCCAGGCCTGGGCTAAATTTTTTTTGAACTACAATCCCCAGAATGCCATCTACCTTGCAGAAATGAAAGCCTGCTTCAATTTTATGTTGAAGCCCAAGATCAATTTATTTGTATCATGGCTCACAACTACTTAGATTTGAGTGACAGAACGCTGACGAAAGAACCATATAACTAATATGAAGCAGAGAAAGGATCGATACCCAACCACACTTGAATCACATTTTTGAGACATTATTTGGACAAATCCTTCAGTTCTGTTTTCCTTTGTAGTGTGGAACTGGTCCTTTTTCATCCAGTCAATGGAGCACTACATTCTAACAGGTACTAAATGGAGTCCATTCTAACCCTGCCCCACAGTTTATAGTCTATCACTGAACATTACCAAGGCAGGGCAATCAGAGGAAAGCAGAATTATCTAAGAGCCTCTGAACCAGAAGAGGAATCTAACCATACTTTTGACTTTTTGGAAGTATAACCTTTATTTTGAGATGGCTTCTGTAGTAATCAAATTATTCCTGGGAAGTTTAAACAAGGTTAAATTAAAGTCTGGCGCCTGCTAAGCATGGTACAAAAAGAAGAACCAGTCAGCAGCTGTGGAGGTGAGGTCATTCGGTGGACTCTTGCTTTGGTCTCCTCACCTTAGAAGTCAGGCAAGGAAACTTGGTACACTGCGGAAGACTTGGGGTTGGAGAGATGCCTCCGTGGTTAAGAGCATTTGCTGATCTTCCAGAGGACCCAGGTAAGATTCCCAGCACCCACATGGCAGCTTACAACCATCTCTAACTCCAGTCCTCTTCTGGACTGACTGGGAGCTGACATCCTCTTCTGGACTCTGTGGACATTGCACACATTGGTGTACATACACACCCGCAGGCAAAACACTCATACACATTTAAAAAAAAAAGCATGAGAAACAACAGCAAAGAATTCCTTTCTGATGTCCTCATTTTTTTTTTTTTTTTTTTTGGTTTTTCAAGACAGTATTTCTCTGTGTAGTTTTGGTGCCTGTCCTGGACCTTGATCTGAAGACCAGGCTGGCCTCGAACTAACAGAGATCAACCTGGTTCTGCCTCCCAAGTGCTGGAATTAAAGGCCATGCGCCCGGTCTGATGTCCTCATTTCTATAAGTAAAACTATTACCATTTCCTATCATGAAGACGACAGATCTCCCACATCAGAGCCAGGATAAAAACATAGAGCACCAAATCAGACTGCCTGAGTGTTCTGCTCAAGTACTCACTAGGTACAACGAGTGAGCATTAAGGCAACATCCAGAAGCCTCCCTGACAACCTTCAAGATGGGCTGACTACAATATCTACCTTCCGGGACTCCACAGGATTAGACGAGGTAACATATGTAAAGTATGTAGTGCATGAGAGAAGTTCTACGTGATAACTGTTATTACACCTAATCAGTGCCTTCCTTTGTTCCTTCAACCTCTGTAGCTAATCTGTCCCTGAGCTCTGTCAATTCATATATATATATATATATATATATATATATATATATATCAGTTAAAACATTGGTTATAAAAACAAATCACCCAGGATGCTGGTGTCTACCCATGGTCTTAGATAATCACACTGTAGCAATCTCTAGACACTGGACTACTGTGTAGCATAGTCCAAATTACAAGTACAGAAAAATATGCTATTTTGTTCAATGAAATGATTCAGTCATTGAAGACTATACCTAAATTGACCTTCTTTAATATAAGTCACGAGGAGGGACAAGCAATTGAAATTTACCAAAAGGAGAATGTTATACCCTCTCAGAGTGCAGAGGTTTAAGATGTCTGGGCAACCACAGACACTGTGGGCACATATTCCTTCTCCTAAGATTCTATGATTGCATTTCTGCATACATATACCCTAGTGGAGTTCACGTATCCAGCAAGCCACAGAAGGATGCACAAAGACACTCGTGTGAAATTAGAATTGGAGCAACCTAAATCTATTCATCAGTAGATATGATGGTTAATGTCGGTTGTCAGCTTGGCAGGAACTAGAATCAAGTAGGGAACCAGAATAAAGCGTAGTTGCGAGGGATTCTTAAGTTAACTGACGTGAGGAGACCCATCCTAACCGCTGGGCAAATACAAAGGAGGAGGAGCTGAGCAGCAGCCTTCATCCCTCCCTGCTTCCTGACTGTAGTAGATGCCATGAGACCAGCGGCCTCAAGCTCCTGCTATGGTGACTTCCTGCCATGATGGACTGCATCCCTGGAAATGTAAGCCGAAACCAACTCTTCATTCCGTCAGGTGCTTCTTGTCAAGTGTTTGATGGCGGCAGTGAGAGGAGTAACTTAGGCAGGAAGTGGGTAAGCTGTACTGCCACACAACGCACCTCAAGATTAACCAAAGCATAGCAGGAACACGTCAAAGGCACACCGCTGACCGAGGAGAAGAGAGATGTATATGTATATCAGCACCAATTATAGGCGCCCATGAAAGCAATGAACAAGTAAAGAGGATGTGCAGCCACATCAGCATAGTTTTGATCACTTCCGAGGAGGAAGACAGAGAAAGGATAGGAAAACGGTAGAAGGCAACTAATTTTTTTTCTTTTTTAGACACATGTGTCTCTGTGAATCTGCGTACAGGAATGTGCAGTTAAATGCAGGCATCTTCGGAGGCCAGAGGTGTCATAGCCTCTGGAGCTAGAGTTCTAGGCAGCAGTGAGCTGCTGTTGTGGGTGCTGGGAACCGAACTCTAAAGGCAGTTTGGATTCTTAATCATTGAACCTTCTCTCTGGCCCCAGCAAGGAAATGAGTGAATGATATTTATGATTATGACTCTAAAACAACCTAATATAAATATAGCATTAAGGATTGTATGTGTCATCTTTTCCCCTGTGTGTGTGGTTTTTTTTTTAACAATAAATATTTTTCACAGTCAAAAAGCTGACAGGTGTGGGTCTGGCTCAGTGGCAGAGTGCTTGCCTAGCATGCCCAAGGCTCTGAGTTCGATCCATAGAACCAGAAAACAAACAAAAACAGTAAAACATGGCATTAATAACAAAAGAAAAAACGTGCCTTCAAATCACTATGAGCTTAGACAAATTATTTCTTCTCTGTTAACCTCATTTCCCCCAACTTTAATGTAGGAACCACAGTCCCTTCCCTACATAATTACAGTGAAGAACCACGGGAAAACGGTCTTTAAAACATTCTACAGTATTGCTACTGCTGTAATAATCGTTACTAGCAGGACATTATTAGAGTTCCAGGACAATCAATACTATTACACAGAGAAACCCTGTCTTGAAGAAGAAAAAAAAAAAAAGAGGAGGAAGAGGAGGAGAAGGAGGAGGAAGAAGAGGTTGGGGAGAATGTGGTGAAACCAAAGAGCCATGCTGCCCTTAGTTGCTTGGAGACCTGCTTCTTCACATTGCTCACTAGGACAGCCCATCCTTTCTCACCTGGCAAGGTACCAGAGACTAATCAACGTTACTCCTTTCGCAGGCCAGTTCCTTACCTGTTAGTCACACCACCTCGGGCTCCCAGGTCTTCCTTGTTGGCCCCGTGGGCTGCTATTCTGTTCACTTCCTCTTCTGGCTCACTCAGGCTATCTTGGTCAGGGCTGTCCTCTTCTAAGCTGTCAGGCTCCATATTTTTGTCCTGGATTTGGTCCTCAACTTTGGACTGGGCCTTAATCTCTTGGGGGAGGCTTTCCGAATCTGATTCTAAGGAGTCTTTTGAAATCTGACTTAAGTCTTCTTTCTTAAAGGCTCTGCCTGAAGGCTGGGTCCTCAGGTTGGTATGATGGACAGGAGACTGACTGGAGAGCTTGGGAACTGGTTTATATTTACTCATCCTGAAAAATAGAAACATGAACAGGAACGCACTTGTTAACAGAAGCAGTTAGCTAACATTTATAATTGTGGCTGTCAAAAGCATTGCTGAAAAATTATATTTATGTTACTTGGTGGCTACTGAAATCATAATGGCAATGTTTGTCAAAAATGTCAATGAGCAAGAGAACCTTGTTATATTATCTGCAGGCTTTTGAATGCACCCTTTTGAGTGTGTGAGCAAGGAAGGCTTATTGGAAAAATGATTGTTTTTCTCTCTGCAGAAACACATCTGATTTAGGGCCCATAAGCTGCCTGAGTAATCGAATGAGGTTTTATTGAGGAAATCAAATGGCTGCTTGAAAGCAGATTCTGTTTCCAGCTTCCAAGGGCTTCTTACAAACAAGCCGGAACAAAGCCAAACGGTTAATTGTGAGCAGTGCTTTTGGTGGCTTTATTTCAAATGCCCAGGGCAAGTGTGTGTGTGTGTGTGTGTGTGTGTGTGTGTGTGTGTGTGTGTGTACACATCCTGTTCAGTAGCAGCCACAGATGCTCTCAAACAGGTTTAGGATTTACCATTTAGAGAGCAAAGGAGAGAAAAGCATGATTTCCCCAACCAGAACTGTAATACACAGAGTGTTTCATTCCTAGACCATTATCAGCTGGCTCCATCATTTAGAAAAGGCTTTTGCTACCCAGGATGCTGCTAGAGAGGAGTGTATAATTTGGTGGCCATTATATGGAGATCAATCTCAGCTCAGTATTAAACAACAACAACAACAATGTAATAATAATGGTTAAAAATGTTCAATAAGCATGGTGTGTTGGTGCATGCTGGTAGGCTAAGCACTTTGGAGAGGGGAGGAGGAAGGTCAGGTGCTGGAGGGAAGCCAGCTTGGGCTGCATGAGACAACAAACAAACAACAACAACAACAAATCCAAACTGTTCAACAAAAGGTTTGTGAATCCTGTCAGTGAGTGACTCACAACACAGGCTGGACATCCACCTACCTGGAATAGATGCTGTCCTTGAGCAAAGCTGGGTAGGTAGGAGACTGGCCTACATTACATTACAGCTAGGAGTTAGTGGAGTCTGTCCGCCCCTTCTAACTTCCTTAGCAGTGTGATTCCAAGTGAACCCTCACTGTCTCCAAGGGCTACAATAGTGACCCATGAGACGGTTTACAGAAAAATGCTTTGAGTTCACACAGGCTTGGAAGATGATGGCTGGGGTTGGATTTCCTTTCATCTCTACCCAGTGTCTCTCTTTTGGTTTATCTTCTCTCACTGCCTTCACGCCGTGTGTGTGTGTGTGTGTGTGTGTGTGTGTGTGTGTGTGTGTGTGTGTGTGTATGTGTGTGTGTGTGTGTGTGTGTGTGTGTGTGTGAGAGAGAGAGAGAGAGAGAGAGAGAGAGAGAGAGAGAGAGAGAGAGAGAGAGAGAGAGAGAGTCAGAAACCTTTACCATTGGAGCTATGCTCAAATTTGTTTTGACTGGCTTGCTCATGTTCTTTTGGCAAACCCAATTTTTAATTAAATACCTTGACCTGATTTCTGTTCCTTGAATTACTATTATATTGACCTTGTTGCTAGGGTTTCCGAGGACACAGTCCTGTCCTTGGATGAAAGCACCTTGACAAACACAACAGACAAAAGGTAGTGTTCATACTTAAACAAACATGCAGTGATTCTCTGTTTAACGCCACGTTTCTTCTTGGTAGACGAATATATCATCGCCTAATTTTAGATTAGTTTGCCTGCAGTCTCTTATTTAATATGTACGATCACATTCTGCCATATTTTAATACCATTTGCTTTTCAGGATATCTTTTAGAAAGCAGTGAGCATGAAAACATTTAAAGTCTAAGTCCCTATAAACACCAGTTTTAATTGTTTAAAAGGTCACTGTATTTGAAATCTTGAAAAACAAGCTTAAAAAGTCAGGGCTAGGGGGTATATAGCTCACTGATAGAACATGAATGACACCCAGAGTTTAATCTATAACTCCATCAAGAAAAAAGTCACAGTTCATTTCATATTGTTTTTCATACAATAATACAGACCCTTCATTCTGTCTTTTCTTAAATGAGAACCCAGGGTTTCTTGGTAGCAATAAGTAAGTAATGGCCATATATGATAATAATTTAGTTGTTGACAGAGTGGTAAGATTTGGGAAGAATGGGAAAGAGCAGAGTGAAATATCCCCCAAATTGGGTTTTCTCTGGAGGCCTGAGCGAGGGAGGGAGGGAGGAAGAGAGAGAGAGAGAGAGAGAGAAAGAGAGAGAGAGAGAGAGAGAGAGAGAGAGAGAGAGAGAGAGAGAGAGAGAGAGAGAGAGAGAGAATATTACATAAAAAGAGCTGACCCCTCGAATAAATGTAGTGAGTGGCTACATTTCAAGAATAACTGCGTAGTAACAACCCATGGGGGAAAAAACACGGGGAAAACAAAACAAAACAAAAACGGATGGGCCTCTGCCATTCCTGACCGATAATCCACTTCTTAGTAAACAAGAAAGGCATGGGCATAGTCCCTAGTATCTAGGGACTAAGAAACCAGCATCTCTCAGGATCTCGTGAAGGCCTTCTGTCTCGGCCACTACTTGGGGACACATCCGCTAGGGCAGGGGGACAAGGAGGCCCGTTTAGGATGAACAGCGGATCCAAAGTTGCCCTGTTTGGAACGGGTTGGGTGCAGTCCCATGGGGAATCTCAGGGGTTTCCGCCGCCGTTGCCTCTTTCTAAGGGTCAGGACCGGCTGCAGCGGGCGTTTGAAGGTTCGGAGGTGGCCGGTAGGAAGCCCGGACAGGGGGCTGGGGATCGGGCTGCCCGGCCTGGGGGGTGGCGGTCCTGCCTGGGCGCGGTCCTCCCTCCGGGACCGCAGGCTCTGCGGCTCCCTCGCGCCCGCCCCGGAGTTCTCGGTACAGCCCGGCCCGCGCGGCCCCTTCCCACCCGCCGGGAACCGCCCGTCACCTGCCGGCGCTGCTGGGCGGCCGCGCCCCTGGCCCCGCAACCTCCGGAGCCCGGGCTCCCGCTGCGGCTCCCGCCCCGCCCGCCCGCCGCTGCCTGGAGACCGGGGCCAACACCGCGCCGGCCGCTCGCTCGCTCCGAGCCTCGGGGCCCAGCGCTCCTGCTGGCCCGCGGCGCGGAGAACCCCCGGCTCGGGATGCTCAGGTCCAGCCACCCCGACCCTGGCTAGGAGGAAAAGCAGGGAGGACAGAGCCCTGCGTCAGTGATGCTGCTGGGGTAGGCAAGGCCCACACACCAGGGAGAAAGGAACCCAGTTACTGACTTGGAGAGGGGAGGTAAGGAGAGAAGAGAGGCGGGAGGGAAGGAGAGGGCAAGTGGCCAATAAACATTGGACCCTCATCGGAAGGGAACGTCATTCACTAATATTCAGAAGAGGGAAAATTAAAGCCACCCAGGACAGCACACTCACCACTCAGGCATCTTAAGGTGAAAACTTGGCCACGCGTTGGTTATGCCCCCTGGGAATAACGACAGTCAGAGGGAGTGGTTGGAGGATAAGGAGGAGTGTGAGAGCCTCAAAAAGCCTGAATACCCAAAGGAACAGCCAGATAAACACACACCAGTTCCAAGGGTCCAGGGAATTTTATGGATGAGGGACTCTCAAGAGTGTGAACTGGGTAGCTAGCACTTTGGGAAAACGTTTGGCATTGTCTGAGATACGCAGGCACACCGGAGTTCCCAGCAGCCTCACCTTTAGACACTCACCTGAAGGAAGCATGCGTTTTTTTAGGCATCTGTGACAGCTTAAACCCGAAACGTCCCACACGGGTTCATGGGTTTGAACACCTGGTTCCCGGCTGCTGGTGGTGTGTTTGTGGTTGGGGGTCTGATCGGTGGAGGTGGGTCACTGGGGCTGGCCTTTGAGGATTATAGCCTATTGCTGAGTTCTCTGCTTTCCATTTACCCCAGGATGTGAAGTGCTTGTGCCATGCCGGCCCCTTAGATAGGCCATGCCTTCTCCACCTTGACATGCTGAAACCATAAGCCAAAATAATGGCCGTTTAGTCACAGGTATGATGAAAGTACCTCATACAGCATCCAAACTGGAGAGTTATGGGGACATAACATTAAAGACCAGCTACATCAAACTCTGCTGGGTTTGTAGGTGCACACACAGCAAAGGCAACAACTTTAAACAAACAAACAAACAAACAAACAAACAAATAAGGCCCAAGTAAGAATTTATGTGAAGTTAGGAACCTGATCAGCTCAGAGTGCTCTTGAGATTATATTTCCTAACTTTAGTGGTTGGCATTGATGTCCATTGCAAATACTTCTTTAAGTCTTACATTTATGCTGGGTGGTGGTGGTGGTGGTGGTGGTGGTGGTGGTGGTGGTGGTGGTAGCACACGCCTTTAATCCCAGCACTCAGGAGGCAGAGGCAGGTGGATCTCTGAGTTGGAGGCCAGCCTGGTTTACCAGAGTGAGTCCCATGACAGTCAGGGCTACACAGGGAAACCCTGTCTCAGAGGAGAGAGAGAGGGAGAGAGAGAGATTTATGGTGTGTAGAGTGCTTACTGTCAAAATTTTTTCAAAGATGAGAAAGGAAATGCTAGAAATTATATTCACATTAAAGACACAAGTAGGTCTGAATAACTGCCTTCAAGAGGCAAGAATGTTTACAGACCAGTTGTGTCACTAATAATAGGAAACAGGGATTCGGGAAATAACCTTACTACTAGTTTTACCACGTTTCAATCTGATTCTTATTGTAGCTGATTATGTTTTCACTTTCTTTTGACAGCAGGAACCTTTCCTATACATGCACAGTAAGACCCCAGTGTTCATTGACCAAATAAAAATGAGTTATCTGAAACATTTGTGTTATTCTATCCAGTCTATTGCATGAATTATCAGGACAGCAACTTCAAACGTGCAGAGGAAACCCACCCAAAAGCATTCCTTCTTTGTAGCAGCTCCCTGGGTGTGTTGTTCTGAGGAATCAAGAGAGGACCACTCACACCCTACTGGTTTCTCAGCCACTAGTCAGTATGAATCACTGCTGAGGCCCTTCAACTGCTTTCTCCATCCTCTGGAGAACATTTCTTCTGGCTTTCTGCAATCCAGGGACCTTGTGTGATTCACAAGTGTTGTGATCCAATGGCTCCTGGCAGAGACACGCCACCTTCTCAGCACAGAACTCCCCGAGTCTGGTCCACCTCCCTCCTCTGCAGCAGCTGTCCTGCGTATGCTCTGGTGTAATTACAGTTTGGAATAACAGGCACACACGACAGAGCATGTCAGCTGTTTTAATGGAGATAATTTGATATGAAGATATATTATAAAGAGTTGGAAAGGGGACACATTTCTCATGGGTATTGCGATCCCAGAAAGCAGCTCTGACCTTTATGGCTAAGGGAAGCCCAGGGATGAACCTGAACTCATTATCCGGAGCAGGGCCACTTGGGGCCAGGATCCAGGCCTCTGACAGGGGTGAGGAAAGACTAACAGAGCTGGCTCTGGGGACTCAGATGCTGCTACTGAAGCCCACTGAGCTCTGGGGGATGAAAGACTCTGCCAAGGGACTTGGAGGAAACAGGAAGAAAGTGAAGGAATGTCAGTTTCTTTTCCTCCTTCAGCCCGGCCACCTCTCTCCTTCACATCACCAGGGGAGCCAGCAAGAAGCCTGTTGAGAAAGGAGAAATATGGTTCGCAAGAGTTGTGTCTGCCTGGTCATGTGTGTGTGTGTGTGTGTGTGTGTGTGTGTGTGTGATTGTGACTGCAGGTACCTGAGGAGGAAAGAGGCAACACATCCCCCTGGATTGGGAGTTACAGGTGGTTGTGAGTTCTTGGATGTAGGTGCTGGGAACTGAAATCCAGTCCTCTATGGGAGCAACATGTGTCCCTAGCTGCTGAGTCATCTCTCCAGACCTAAGCTTTCCTGTGTTAATAAAAGAAATGACCTATTGTTTCATGGAGCCCAAAACACCCCGGCAAAAGTATTTTCTCTCTTTAAATATCAATACAGTTGCCTCCCCGAATTTAGGCTTTTTTTTGTTTTGTTTTGAAATTAAGTAGGATGGCTTTAAAAACCAAAACCAAAACCATAAATTGTGTGATACATTTGGAAAGACTACAAGACATTTTTGCTTCCTGGGTCTAGGTTTACTTGTATCTGAAAACAAGGAGCAGAGGAGACAAGGTGGGGAAATTAACATATTTCAACCGTGATGACAGACCTGATCATGAGTGCATTACAGGAAGGCAGAGGGCTTCTTCTCCCTCAGAAGGTTCAGGATGGCTTAAAAAAAAAAAATACAACTGCGTTTCATCTAGATCAAACCCCCTTATGAATATAGCAAATTACCATGACTTCAGCCAGGAGGGAGTGATGGGAGATTATGTTGTTGGGCTAAATTAGTGGGCTCATTAACGGTCAGCAGTTCAAACCACCGTCTTCATCTACAGGGAGCCTTGTGACTTCAGGGTGCTCAGACTGTTGGGTGGTTGTCATTTTCTCTCTCTCCACCTAATGACAGGTAGTGTGGGAGATGCTTGGAGCCCGGATATTTCTTTCTTTCTTTCTCTCTTTATTGTAGTGGGGCTAGCATGATAAGCATTCTTACTTCCTACTAGGCAGCATTGAGCAGGCTCTGCCCATTCTTCTTTGGCTCCATCTTGCTATGAGCAAGAGGACAAGAGCATGAAACCGCTTCTTGTGTGGGGGAAAAAAGGCAGGATCTTGCCTTGGGCCCTTCAGCAGCCCAGAGGCTAAGGCCCTGACCTCAGCTGTTTTACCCACTAGTGGCATCTTTGGTAGCTGCTTGACTGTGTCTGGGTCACTGTACTTCCATCAGTAAACAACACTGGATCTGCGTTTTCCAGGATAATGATGGTGCACAAAACAGCCTGCTCTAGCATGTCAAACTGCCCCTTTTGGGAGGTGAAGGTAACCGTAGCTCCAGCTTGTCCGGCTTGAATAACTGTCGGCTTTCCAGTCCACAATAGTTCTGACACAGCAACTCAAGACCAGTAAGGACACACGTTTTCCCTCTCCTTGGTACAATAGCCTGCCCCATGAAGGAGTAACGGTGGCTCCAGACTTCATCTGTAGTTACATTTTCAGAGAAGGATGTTTTGATTAGGAAGGCCTCCTTCCATCATTAAGACAAGTCTTTTCTGTACCAGGCATGAGACAGGAGGTTTGTACATTTGAGGACATCTTGGGCCACATGGCAAGATCCTGTCTCAAAATATGTACATAAACAAACAAAAACTTTTTCTAGAAACCTATCAAGAACTCACTCATGTCTCAATGACTAGTGCTGTTCTAAGTTATTGCATTTATTGTAATATTTATTATTACAATAATAATATTGTCATACCTACATCCATGGATGCAACAAATCTTAGGTATCAAAACAGGTTGTTCTGCGCTGGGCAAGTACAGTTCCTGTCATTATTTCCAAAACAATAAACTACAATTGCTATCCATGTATCATTTACATTGCACAAAGTATCATTCATAATCTGGAAGTGATTTTTCACTTTCAGAAGGATGTATGTAGTGTATAAATGAATATCACACTGTTTTATACAAGGGACCTGAAAATATTCAGATTTTGGTGTTTGGGGAGATGGTAGCAGGGAGGTCCTGAAACTGTCCCCCATAGACACCAAGGGTCACTGTTTGTGGGTAAGGTACATCTGAACAAAACTGTAGTCAAATCAAGCTACACAGAATCCTCTATGACAACTTTTGGATCCTGTATGTTGAAGTTATAATGTTCGATAGTTCTCAAACTTATATGACCCCAGGAAACTTCTTTTTAAAAAAATAATTACATTTATTTATTCATTCTTTTTTTGTGTATATGCATATGGGTGAGTGTGTCATGGCACACTTGTGGAGGTCAGAAGACAACTTTCAAGGATCCGTTCTCTCTTTCCACCATGTGGGTCCCAGACATTGAAATCAGATCTTCAGGACTTGCAGCATTTACCTGCCAAACCATCTCACCACCCTAGGAACATTTTCTTTCCCCCACAAAAAATATTTCTAGAACATTAGTTTTCCTCAACATACATTTTAATGCTTGATATAAATTCCTTTCTGATTTGAATATTCTACCTGTAAAACTAGACCAGGAATTACTGGGATGTGAAAAATATAACCATTTTATTGGTAAGCTTCTCTGTAACACGTGGGTGATACACTCAAAATGGACTATATAAGGATTTAATGAACTAAATTCAAAGCTTTAGGGGAAATAAAGGTTGCACAGGATTCTCCAGTGCTCACTTAATGTAACGAAAAAAGCAGGTAGATTCCAGATCCAGAGAAACAAAACACCCGACCAGAGAGGCAACTTCTAGTTGAATAATGTGCTCAGTCCCACCAACCCTGAACACCTGGTGCTCTCTGCTTACCTGTTGGTACTTCACATTATCTCCAGAGAGATGGAAAGGGGTACCATTGATGGAGCCCAAATCATCAGCCTCCTAGGGCAAATGAAAGATACTGAACACAGCTCCTAACATCTCATTCCATTTTAAATGTCCCCCAAAAGTCATCTTACTACAGCAATAAAGAGGGCATGGTCCTGAGGCCAGATAGGCTTGGACTGGCATCTAGGTTCTACCCTTAGTTTACGAAATCTTGGCATAAATGCTTTAAAGTGATGATTAGGATGCTGTAATCACCTCAGTCATGGTGTTGACAGTTCATCTCTGCTCTGAAAATGTTTCCTTTGTGCTCCACCACAGTTCCCCTACCCCAAGTCTCCTGACACGGGTCACTGGGAGTGAACTGGGGCCCCCGTCTTAGGATACCCACTCGGGATTCTGACAGTTGGCTAAGTGCTTTCCTCCACTCTGCATGTTGCTGAACCATTGGCACACTCACACTTGGTTCCTGATAATGGTCTGGAGAAGTGAAGCAGTCACAGGAAGTACCATGTGGGAAGATTAGCTGCAAACATAGACTCAAAGAGGGCCAACACACGTTTAATTGACCATGACAAGAACCACCTCTGGGGTAAGAGTGCTTCCTTCTGAATTGTTTTCAAACCACTGGTGTCTTGATGAATGACTGACACAGAGATGCTACAAAACTATGAACGATATGCCAGATCTAGATGTCTCTGCACATTGAAACTCCCTTGGAAAGCAGGATTCCCGACTCACTCCCATCAACCTCCTACCCCCATGCTCTTCCCAAACAGTTCCATCCTGAAGACAAAGCAGGCATCATGGGAGTGTGAGTAGCAATATGTGGAGGTTCAGAGAGGGTTTGGGAGGCCCATCCTAGGGAGGAGGCAGTGCCCCAGAGCTACTGTTGCCCACAATGTCAACTTGAATGGGCGAGAAGGACACCACATAGCAATGTGTATGTGTGTACCTGTGCATGCCAAATAGTTCCACATAGAGGGGCCACATGGTGTGAGGTGTTAGAGCCCAAAGTTAGTTGTTGCTGGATCCTAATGGCTCCCTCGGGGGAGGGGGTGAGAAGGAGCAGCATCAACAGCACAGACACCAGGAGTCAGTTGAAGGCAAACAACAAACTCGCTTATTTAATAATGGGGAAGGCCTTCTATACCCTCCTCCCAGCACCCAGTTTGTGTCACAATCTGGTGGCATTGCGTGATTGTCCCTCATTGGCTGGGCAGGATCAAGAACTCTGATAGCGCCTGTTGCTAGGCCCTCAGGTAGTCTCCAGATTGGCTCATAATGAAGTACATTATGTGCATGCCTTGGCAACTGGTCTGAGCCAATTTCCTTGACCCTATAGGTCTGTCCTACTACAGTTAGTGAGCAGAGACTCCACATGGAGGTAGTGAGGGAGGAAGTGCAGAAATAGAGTTGGAGCCTTTGCAGGAGAAAGACATCCTAAGGACAGTGGGCAGTGGCAGAACTGGGAGATGACCTCCACACAGGAAATTGATCAAATTGGCAAATGTATTAAGGTTACAAAAAATTCATCTCTCAGAGGAGGGAATTATGAATACAGAAAGGGAGATCCTAGAATAAATTCATGGTTTCAATAGACAAACATAAATATACACCAACACACACACACACACACACACACACACATGCGCGCGCGCACGCACACACATGCACACGCATGCACACACACGCACGCACACGCACGCGCACGCACACGCGCACACACACACACACACACACACACACACACACACACACACACACCTGTATAAATAGTCCAAAGTTCTATCCATTGAGAGGACCTGACAGTGATGATTGCCTCAAAAGCAATGACGACAGCTATCACAAATCCTGGTTTCTAAATGCCACCGCCCATTGTTAGATTGTAGACTCTCTTTGAAACCTCTCTCCATCTCCTCAAAATCAGGCCAGGCCTCTCTGGGGCAGAGTTAAAAGGTTGTTCTATACTGTGGCCTTGCAGCCCATACCCCTCAAAGCTGCAAGATAAAGGTATGGTGCTATCCAGTACCTAGCTCCTTGTCATGGAGGCTTTGTCAGACCATATATATATATATATATAACTTGACACCAGTTCCTTCAAAGCATAAAAATTAGGTATCCTGTTTGTTCAAGTGATTTATCCAAAGGCACACCCCCTCCTTCTCTCAGCCCACCCCCTGCCACCTGTGGCCATCTTCTCTTTAAGCTATCCTTTTGAATGTTCCCTACCCCAAGGCCCAAACCTGGCCCCAATTGTTTGCAAGGCTCGCTCTCCTAAGAAAGCTCATTTCTGAGGGGCAGCTGGTCTCAGCTTCCTTTCTTGCTGTTCCCTGTGCTATTTCCTATCCACTAAACAGGACTAGGAATTCTTAGAGAATTGCTGATTTCAGGGATGGCACAGGGAGAGTTTGAATGTCTAGTATCAGAAAGCGAACTGTGTGCCTGAAGATGGATGCCTGTCTGTCAGGAGGATGCAGAAGCCAGTGTCCACAGTTTGACTGTGAAATTAGCAGTGGGTCAGTTTGGTAGTAACCAATAACAACCCACCGAACAACACGGGAGACCAGAGTCTAAGAAAGGGCAGATCTAAGAAAATAAGTGAACAGTTTTAAAGTCTAACGAGGAAGACAGCATTAGCATAGTTTTGAAGCAATTCCCCATAAAATACTTAAAGAAGAGAGTAGGTTTGCATTGAAGAACTCCAGAAGTACCATGTGAATCAATCAACTGGAATCAAGCAGCAGAAATCAAGTGGGATAAATAATAGACAAGAAAATAAAACTCAATGGGCTTCCTTGAGAGTCCAATAAAAGTGTAACTTGAACCCGATATAAAAAAAACATTGAACAACACCTAGCTGAGGACTGCTCTATAAAATAATTACCTGTGCTGCAAACACCCAGGCCATGAAAAGAAAAACAAGACAGATAAATAATTCCAAATAAACAGAAGTGAAGACAGAGTGAAAATCTAATTGGGGCCTTCAGGACAGTTAGGGCATTTGGGAAGGCTTGAATGGTGTCTGCCTCAGTCACCGTTCTATTGCTGTGAAGAGACATCATGGCCAAGGCCACTCTTAGAAAAAGAAAGCCTTTAATCGAGGACTGGCTTACAGTTTTAGAAGGTTAGTCCATGATCATCATGGTGGGAAGCAGACAGGCATGGTCCTGGAGCAGTAGTTGAGAGCTTTACATCTTTTTTTTTTTTTTTTTTTTTTTTTTGGTTTTTCGAGACAGGGTTTCTCTGTGTAGCTTTGCGCCTGTCCTGGAACTCACTTGGTAGCCCAGGCTGGCCTTGAACTCACAGAGATCCGCCTGGCTCTGCCTCCCGAGTGCTGGGATTAAAGGCGTGCGCCACCACCGCCCGGCCCGAGCTTTACATCTTAATCTGCAGGATCTGCAGGCCGTAGACAGAGAGAGTGAGACTGGGCCTCATGTGGGATTTTGAAACCTCAAAGCCCATCCCCAGTGACACATCTCCAACAAGGCCACACCTCCTAATCCTTCCCAAACATTTCTACTAACTGGGGACCTAGCATTCAAACATATGAGTCTATGGAGCCCGTTTTCATTCAAACCATCACAGCATCCAAGGACCATGAGTGGAAAGATAGACATGCTGCTTTCCTGACTCAGGTGATTGCTTTATGGTGATTCGTGTCTTTGTTGGGGCACTCAGAGGGTGTAAGGGTTGATGAGCATCAGGTCCATTCACTCTCAGAGAGGTGAGGAAGGTCCTCTGTGCCACCTTTACACTTTGCTAGGATATTGTAAATGTTAAGTGAAAACATGATCACAGGAGGCATAGAACCAGGAGGAGCTGCTCCTTATGATAACACACTCGTGATACAGGTGTGTGTATGCATGTTTGTGTGCATGGATGTGTGCATGGGTGTGTGCATGTGATACTTTCAAATTGGTTTTCTCACATCCAAATAAAGAGAAATGCCTCATAGAGCATCAGAGTTTGCTATGTCCTCTAAACTGATTTTTTTTAAAAAAGAGAGTTATTAATTTTTACACAGAGAATCAAGAAGCACAACAACTCCAGAAAGACACACTCTGGTCTTTATTAAAGAAGTTCCAACACCACTATGACTTTAACAATCTGTCAATTAAACTCATGATTTTTTTTTTCTGTACATGCTTTTGTCATGATGTAATCAGGTTAAAAAAAAATTGTCTGCCAGGTTGGTGCACATGGATAGCAAGTCAACCTAAGAAGCTGGCAGTTGAATTCAGTCCTTGTGTTGAGAGTTGTGTGTAGATGTCTGGGTCTTCATGTCCATCACATGCTGTGACATCCCATCCCCCGCCCCCATTGCCCATGTGGCACCTTCTGAGAGCCTGTCTTGAAAGCAGGCTTCTGGTATCTCAGGTCTTCTTTGCATGCTTCACATCCTTAAGTTCTTCTTGACCGGAAGGAAAGATTTTAAACCAAATTAAACAGTTCCAATACAGCCCCATGTCTAAAAACTGCTGCCTACTGCTCCCTTCGAGGTCAGATGTTCGCTGGTCATACTGACCCTGATCCAAAAGACTTTAGTAGAGTTCTCTAGCTCTGAAGTAGTGTCAGTCATAATAGGTTCTTTCGATGTTTTTCTTTCAATGAGGAGCTTTCTGTCCATGGCTTGGTCCTCATGTGGCTGCCCTGGCTCAGTGGACACTGTCCTGAATTGTACTCAATGGACATTTTTTTCATGCCACAGTACTTATGCTCCTTTCCAGGGCCTTATCCAGCTGCCCTGAAATCCTGTCTTCTGTGGCAGGGAACACTTAAACAATACTCTCTGGGACACGACTGTTCTTGCCTTCCAGTTTCCAATGCTGCCCATTCTCCTTCCTCTTTGTTTTGGCTCCTGAGTATAACCAAGTGATGTAGTTCATACAACGTTTAGGCTGTGAAGCTGAAAGAAAAACACATTAAAGATAATTTTGAACAGCATTGCACCCACTCATTTGGAGCTCTTGAGAGGCCATGTTTTAGTTATAAAACCTAACCTACAATCATTTGGCATATGTAAATGTTCTAAATAAATAGTTGTGTCTTAATTAAAAAAAACTTATGCTACATAAACAATATGCTAATCAACCTGAAATAAAATGCATAGACATTTTGCTACCTATCAGCTGCAGAAAGTGATACATTGCCTTCAGCAAAATCACATACTAGAAAATAACAAGGTTTGTGGGGGAAAATTAGGTTGTGGCAGAACCTTCAAAGCCTAGAGCCGGAGCTGGCCCCAGACTGATCTTTTGGAAAGCATAAAACAATAGAGCTGCAGCATTGGGTTTGAGGCATGGAGGCATGGAGATCAGTACTACGGATTTGAGTGTCAACATGATTGGATTGATGAACCTCTAGAAGATCAGTAAAGCATGGTTTTGGGGGTATCTGTTGTTTCTAGGGAGGGTGAAGAAGGGGGAAAGCACCCGCCCTGAGTGTGGGAAGCACCAACTGACAGACCAGGACCCGGCCTGGGTGGAATCAAAGGACGAGAGAATGAGGAAGCTAGAGAGGGAATGGGTTTTCTCTCTCTGCCCGCTTCTTGGCTGCCATGATGTGAACCGCCCCGCTCCACCACACTCTCCCCCCACGGTGGGCTGAGACCTTTGAACATATGAGCTAAAATAGACTCCTCTTCCCTTGATCTGTCAGGTATTTGCCACAGCAGTGAAAAAACAAACCAAAGTTAACTAACACAGGAAGAAAATGGAGATCTGAGCCCAGGAGAAAATCCTTCTGTCTATGAAGATGGAGCGCTCCCGATGTCCCCATCTGCACAGGAATCCTGAGTGCAGCCGTCCACTCCATTTCTTTAAAACCAAACCGTGGGAACACTTGCTCATTCAGCACTGAGGTGAGGGCTTTCCGTTCTCTGCTAAGGCTCACAATTCTCCTCAGCTGTTTTACCTTCCTCTAGCCCAGGAAAAACACCACAGGCGTCTACGCAAATCACACCAATTCCGATGCCAGTCACCTGTGTTTCACAGCCCACTAGCCGGTTTCCTCACACTTCCCCATCATCTGGCCACTGTGTCTCTTTCCCTACTAGAAGCCTATTCTCTCTCTGTCACTAGAAGCCAATTCTCTCTCTGTCACACCTTGGAAGGTCAAACCGAAACAAAAAGGCACAGGTGTTTTAAGAGACCAGCTCCCACAAAAAATCTCCACCAAACAGACGGAACCAAGTAGCAAAGCTCAGTACATTTCTCGAAACCCTTGGCAGGTAGAATAAATAAATTTGCATGGAGGACATACAGCAGGGAGAAGGTATGAAATTCTTGCTGTGCTATTGATCTGCCTGGCTTCTGCCTACTAGATTTTTTTTTTAAATCAGGAATACACATGTGTGCATGTACAGACCCATACTCCCACCTACCCATCCACACCCAGACATTCTCCTTCCCCTTTGAGATCTTTCCACCATTATTTTGCTTAAAGTATTGCAATGAAGTCATCCAAAAGACCCCAAATATTTCTCTTTGGATTAATTAAGCCTTGAGTTCATTTATTCAATGAAAATTTCCCAGACACTCCATGTGTGCCAGGCTCCGTGACAGACTTCCAGGATGCAGAATGAACTTGGTTGTGTACTGACTAACAGAATAAAGCGTAGGGTGGGGTGGAAAGGGCTTCACTGACCGAGGGTTTATGTAGGATGCTGTGCAGCTCAGGCCACACAGGGCCCCTGAGGGTGAGAACGAAGTCAGAGCCAGCCTTCCTAAAGTAGAGGACTTTCTACTACATGAATTTAAGTACCATTTAATTTTGAAAGATAAATTTCCTTAAATACTATAAATCAAATGAAAATCTATCATGTCAAATCAAACTTTGATTCTATCCCCTCCCCACTTTCCCTAGGGCGACTCCCGGATGAACCTCGCTATTCTAGTGTCAGGCCGCACGTTGACTTACTCTGGCTCTTATTCTCTTGGGAAGATGTTTCCTCATTGTTGGATCTTGACCTGTAACTTTCTAGAGTTTGCTCTGAAATTTCACTTTCTGTAAGAAAAGAGAATTGCATTACTAATTTCTGACATTGCAGACATCATTAGAAATGGATGCTTGAAGAAGGCGACAGCCTGGCCACTGTTGAACTGTCATGATTTCCCATGCCTCATGTATTCGTTAGTTCAATATGCCCTCTTAGAGCGTTTTCAGGGTTCCCAGGGGCACTGCAGGAGATGAGGTCAAATGACGGCAGAATAGAAGCAAGCATCGTCCTTCAGAAAGGAACAGTTGCAACAGCCCTAACAGAATGATGGTGGCCAGTCCTTAATGGAAGACTCTGAAATAATACTATGCCATTTGCCTACTGCACAAATGAAACATCAGACCCTGTCTCTGGGCATATATATATGTGTGTGTGTTATATATATACATATATATATGTATATATATATAATGATCAAATTATCTTTTACTTGATTTAGTTACCATACAAAATGTTGGGCTTTCATTATGACATTTTCATGCACTATTGTGGTGGTTTGAATAAGAATGACCTGCATAGGTGCATATACTTGAATGCTTAGTCATCAGGGCATGGAACTATTAGAGAAGCATTAGGATGTCCTTGTTGGGGGAGGTGTTACTGGGAGTGGACTTTGAGACATCAAAAGCCCACACCAGGCCCAGTCTCTCTATCTCTACCTGCAAATCAGGATGCAGAACTCTCAGCTACTTCTCCAGCACCGTGCTGGCCTGCATGCTGCCACACGTCCCATATGATAATGGACTCACACTTTGATCCTGTAAGCAAGTCCCCAGTTAAATGCTTCCTTCTATAGGTTGCCTTGGTCATGGTAGCTCTTCAGAGCAATAGAAAAGTAACTAAGATACATCTGTATCGTTGCAATCTTCTCATGTTTACCTCCCACCATCACTCGATACCCCCTCAGATCTCTTCCCCTTTCACTGTTTCTCTCCACTCCTCCTTCAGCGTTCATGTCAGATATATTTTCTGCATATGGAAGAAAGCACATGCTATTCATTTTCCCCTCATTACCCTCTCTTAGTCACCCCTTTGGGTCTATCCATAATGAGTTATTACATCATCTGTCTAGATAAGCTCATACTAAGCTGTCAAGAGTGATGCTTTTAAGGCAGAGATGTTCAAAAATGCAGTATCTTGAGTTGGTATAAAGAATTTTCTGTCACCAGAGGCCTTGGGCCGTATGTGACTAGATCAGCTTTGCCCAGCAGCACTATGACCCAAGTCATTTAAAATACTCTAGCAGCTGTAGACAAAAAAGGGGGAGGGGGATATTAATTTCACAATACATTTTAGTTAGCTGCTATACCTCAAATACCATATTATGTTCAAGTTTGAGTGTGTGGATTGAGTTTTCAAAATTGGGTAGTTTATCTTTATAGCCCATCTTGATAGAGACTCAGGACATGTCAGGGGCTAGACAGTCGTCATCTTGTGGCTGCTGCAATGGACGGTGCAGGGCTAGACAATTAGTTGACATTGAAGAGAGAGTTTCTTTGAAGTTAGTTTTTAAGTTTTTGATTTGTGTATAGTGTATTGTGATCATATTTACCCCATTACCCTTTCTCATGCTTCTTCCTAGTCCTGCTGACCCTCGTATTTCCCCCAACTAGCCCCCCATCATCATGTCTTTCTGTGTGTTTGCAGCTCCTATACAGGTGCTGTGTGTCCATGATGCCAATAGCCATGGCACATGTGGAAGACAGTATTTCATGGTGCTCTTCTCCATTCCTCAGCTTTTACAGTCTTCACACCCTCATGAAGAAGGGCTTTAATCCTACATACGTTTATGGAATTATTCTGAATAACTTCTAAGGCCCTGTCAAGCTCTGCTATGTGTTGAGTATATGCATTTTAATAGGGCTCTTCTATACTAGATATTTTTATTTTGATTTATTTCTACAGTATTATTATGATTGTTATTGTTTTGGTGTAATGGTAACTCTTTCATTAGAATACTTAGGGAAAATGGCTGGTGTCTTATTGATGAGTGGAACTCAGGGCATTCTTGCAAAATATGAAAGGCATCAGACATTTATCCATAACTAGAGCATGACCTTTATCCATAACTAGAACATAAGGAGACCAGGGATCTCCTGTCCTGGAGACTCATGTAGCCCCAGCACTGGGAACAGTCCCTGGCATGCAGTGGGCACTCAGTGAAGGCTCGTTGAGTGAACAGATGAATTGGCTCAGTATTTTGTCAACAAGAGCATCTACAGTTCAGCACCAACTCCCATAGCTACTTTAGCTTCTCTGTCTCCTTGAGCATGCTCCCTGGAGATCCATAGCCCACGTTTGCTAGAAAGCAAATGAGTGACACCCTTACTGGTCAGCTTGCACAGCAGCTAAGAGAGGAGCATTGATTGACAGGCTCTCCCTTTTCTCCAGTTAGTCGTCGGGCTCTTAGGGACCTCACCGGGTTCTCTGCCCACTCACCCTTCTTCCATATCATGTGTGCTTTACGGAGCTTCATGATGAAGAGCTGAACAATGATGAAGAGGATGAAAATGAGGAAGGACACCAGGATGAGCAGCAGGATGCCACTCTTCCTCTTCTCCAGGCCTATGTACTGAGCGCTGGCTTCTGTGAGGAGAATGGCAGGGTATTAGGCAATTTGGATTTGTGGCTCTCTTTCTGTTTTCGGTCATTGTGGAGTGTGATGGTTAGTCTTCATCTGTCTTTCTTTCTCTACTTCTTTCTTTTTTTGAGATGAAGTCTCATTATGTAGCCCTGGCCAGCCTGGAACTTTCTATGTAATCCAGGCTTGCCTCAAACCCACAGGGACCCACCTGTCTGTACCTCCCTAGTGCCGGGTTTAAAGGCATGTAACACCACGCCTGGATGTGATGACTAATTATTTTATTTTATAGTTTTAATTTTGAGACAAGGTTTCTTTGTGTAGCCCTGGCTGTCCTAGAACTAGCTCTGTAGACCAGGCTGGCCTCGAACTCACAGAGATCTACCTGCCTCTGCTTCCTGAGTGCTGAGACTAAAGGTGTGTGCCACCACTGCCTGGCACTGTGATGCTTAACTTTAATTGTCAGCTTGGCACAATATAGAGTCACCTGCAAACAGACCATCTCAATGAGGGAGTGTCTGGATCATGTTGGTCTGTGGGAGATTGTCTTTATTACATCAATTGACTAGGATGACCCAGCACATTGTGGATGGCACCGTTTCCTGGGTTGGGTTCTGGACTATATAAAAGTAAAGAAAGTAAGCTGAGGAATAGGAAAGTGTCCATTCATTCTCACTGTGCTCCTAATTATGAGTGAGACAAGCTGGTTCAAGTGCCTGCCTTGACCTCCCCACAATTACAGACTGTAACCTGGAGCTGTAAGCTGAATAAATCTGTTATCCCTCAAGCTGCTTTTGTGAGAATGTTTTATCACAGCAATGGGGAATGTATCCAGGACAAGGAGTATATACTGCACTTCTCCAGTGCCGTTTGGACCAAAAGACAGCTCAGCTCAGGAGATGGGCCAAATTTACCCCAGAAGCCATGCATTGTATACTTTTCAGTCCTCTGAAAACAAGCACACAGGCAATAGAGACACACCAATCTCATGGATCACTTGAAAAGTTGTGTGTGTGTGTGTGTGTGTGTGTGTGTGTGTGTGTGTGTGTGTGTGTGTGTTTTAATGACATAGATATTTCATTCTTTTTTTTTATTTCTAGAGAAAGCACACAAGAACATTGACTAAATTACAGTATGGGAATTTTAAGTAGCTTTGAGGAATGCTTGTTCTGCACAATGTAGCTCAGGAACACAGGAGAATTAAGGGGTTTGGAAAAAACTATCCAAATAAAGCAAGATGCCATGTTCCTGGGCTAGGCTAAATGTGTCCCTTGTAAAGGCTTTAGGAGATACACTTGATGAGTTCTTAAAAGTCCTTCTAACTAGTGGGTAATTTTGCCAAATGTCCTTCACCTCAGCCAAGAAGCCCAGAATTAAGGAATGGTGGTTATGTGGAGACTACAGTTTTTGAACCTGCCTAGGACATAATTCTTATGCTTTATGGGATCAATTTTTTCTATATAAATAAATACATTAAAAAGGCAAACAAAAGTAAGATATGCTAACTTCCAGAACCATGTGTATTTAGAGAATAACGTGTCTAGGAATTCAGAGACAAGTGGGGACACCAAGGCTGCTTGCCTCAGGGAAACTTTCTGTAGACATCAGTCTTGGGAGAGAAGTAAGACCGCCAAGGTGAAGCCTCTCCTGCTGTGGGGTAATAAGGATAGACAGGGCAGGGGTGTTGAGACAGGATGATGCCTTCAGAGCATCATGTATCTCCCAGGGGCTTTCTAGAAGCAGGGCTGCAGAAATAGGTAGCAGAGTGCATCTTATGCAGATGGAGAGCTTGTTTTGTATGTTGTAGACTACGGGAAGCCAGAAAGGTTCAATACACAGGTGTGCAGGGTACAAGGGTGTGTTTCCATGGTGCTAAGCCTGGACCGGAAGAGGGAGGGCTCAAGTCACAAGGTGAAGGGGGCCTATATCAAGGGAGTAACTATGATCACAGACAAAACACCTGGAAGAGAACTCATGAGTCATTGGTGGCTACACGTGTGTCCATGTGTGCATGCATCTACTTCTGTATCTACAGAGGAATGAAGGGTTGGGATACACAATGCTTTGAACAATAAGCTGTTTTGTGAAAAAGAATGCTACTTGGACTTTTAGCAATGTTGAGCTTAGGAGAGAAGACATTTGACTAACGACGTGGAAAATATAGAATGAATGAGCTGGTGAGAGGGCTCAGCAAGTAAGGGTGCTTGCTGCCAAGCCTGATGACCTGAGCTTGAGTCCTGGGACCTACACAGCGGAAGGGAAGAACCAATTCCGGAAAGTTGTCCTCTGACCTCCACATGGGTGACATTCCCCACAAACAATTAATTAACAGACTAAGTAAATAACTAAATAAACAATAACTGTGTAATAAACTTTAAAGAAAAAGGGACCACAAAATGGAATTGAAACTGATGCAGAACATTCTGTAAGTAAAAATATGGAATTCTTCCACGTTTAGGTAGCAGGAAACAGCTCAGGAATGAGTGTTTCTATGGACTAAGGAAAGCTGGCCAGGGACTTTAGCCCAATGGTCAAAGCTTGCCTAGCATGTGTGAAATCTTGGGTTTAACCCCCAAATACCAAAATTTAAACAGAGACAAGGTGGAGCAATGAAATCAGAGCATCCACATTTAGGAATTCAGGAAAAGGGACCGGAGACTGGCTTAGCAGTTAACAACACCGGCTGCTCTTCTGGAGGACCTGGGTTTGACTCCCAGTGCCCACATGATGACCTGCAACTATCAGCAACTTCAGTTTCGGGGGCTCTAGTGTCCTCCCCTAGCCTCTGTGGGCACCAGGCACACATGTCATACACGTACAAACATGCAGGCAGACACTCGTGCCCATTAAAAAGAAATCCTTTAAAAAGAAAAAGAACTCAGAAGAAGCAGATCTAGTTAGCTGATGTAGAGATGCAGTAGTTAGCAAAAATGCCAGGACCAGGAGGACGAGGAAGTCAAGAGACAACAAAGGATGGGGCAAGGGAGTGATTGACATGTCCTAAGGGTAGACATGTCACAGGAAACAAGGAATGGAGAAGACCACTGGACACACAGCCAGGAGGGCAGAGGATCAAACATCGGGTCTAAGTGCAGTGGGTGACACTCACCGGTGGCCAAGTCAGGGTCTTGAGTGACATGTTCTTCCTCTTCCTCGTCAATCTCTTGTATACTGGAATTTCCCATCATTGAGACTAAGGTGGAAGTAAGACATGGTATATACATAGATCACATATATGTGACTCACCCTATAACTGCCTTGGCTCCACTGTCCCTCTAAACCTCATGTGGACATTTATTTGCCATGTGATGGTATGGGCATGTGGGCCTGTAAGAGGAGTTTAGGTCTAGAAGGTTCTACCCACAGGAAAGGACTGATGCTATTACGGAGAACAAGTTCTTTTAAAAATGCATTTATTTTCTATGAATGGGTATTTTGTCTGTATGTCTGTGCATCACAGTGAGTGCCAAGGACCCAAGAAGGCCAGGAGAGGGCATCAGATCCCCTGGATTTACATATGGTTGTGAGTAACGATGTGAGTTCTGGGAATCGAACCTGGTTCCTCCAGAACAGCAGCCAGTGCTTTTAACCACTGAGTCATTTCTCCAGTGCAGACAGAGTTCATTTTAAGGAAGTGGCTTGGCCCTTCTTGCTCTCTCTTTGCTACACCAGGCAGGTCCTTGCTGGCTGTGGCTCCTTGATAAACAGACCTCGATTTGGGTCACCTTTCTCTCTCTCTCTCTCTCTCTCTCTCTCTCTCTCTCTCTCTCTCTCTCTCTCCTCTCTCTCTTTCTCTCGAGTCTCTTTACATAGCCCTGGCTGGGAGACCAGGCTGGCCTTGAACTCACAGAGACCTTTCTGCTTCTGCCTCCCGAGTACTGGATTTAAAGGCATGGGCCACTAGGCCTGGCCTCCGTCTTAATTTTTTGAGACAGGTTGTCTCTCACTGAACCTACTAGACTAGCTGGCCAGTGAGCCCTGAGGAAATGCCCATCTCTGCCTCTCCAGTGCTGAGATTAATGTAGGCTGCAGGGCTTTCTATGGCTACTAGGGATCTGAACTCGGGTCCTCATGATTGTGCAGAAAGCGCTTTACCCACTGGGCCATTCCACTAGCCCCTGTGACAGGTTGTTCTAAACTACGGTCACCCTACTATGCTGCAGAATATGGGAACTGACTCCCTGTCTCCAACCGCCTGTTGGCACTCACCCAACCTCCTCCCTCTCTTCCCTTCCCCCATCCCTCCCCTTCTGAGTTCCAATTAATATTAATCACAGTTCCATTTGCTTTTACTTTTAGGTCAACAGTTTTAGCTCTCACATATGAAAAAGAACACACAGCCTTTGTCTTTCTGTGTCTGTCTTATTTTTGCTTTAAAAGTACCAGTTTCTTGCAAATATAGTCACAAAATGCCAGCCTCCCTTTGTCTTACTTGTAAAGGCAACCCTTTATTGAACACTTATATGTACCAGGCTATAGCGCATGTGGTGTGTGGTATCTCTCCTCAGCTCTCAGAGAACAGGCTCTGAGCAGTTAGCGAAGGGGCCCAGTCCTGAAGCCATTGAGTAGGGAAGTCAAACAGGAAATTCCCAGTTTGGTTTCTGATTGGGGAATCTAAACCAAGGTCATTATTCCGTGCTTCCTTCCTGAGAGAGACCGATTAGGGAGGAGGCCCATAGGATGCTTCAAGAGAACCATTGAACAAAGAGGGCCCGGGACAGCATCCGGGCTTTCTGGAGAGAAATGCACAGCCCAAAGCTTTTTGTATGCTTAGAGTCTCAGCTGTCAGTCTGAAATCTAGACACCCCTCTTTTAGAAACAGGTTGAACCGTGAGGCTTTCATAGAAGAACTGGAACAGTAAGAGCTTCTCTGGAGTTTTGTTGTTAATGCTTCCAATTCCCTCTTCCCTGGCTGCAGTGTTTTATCAGCCCATTGCACAGCGCCACTCTGTGGCCCCGAGGGGAATGAAGCCTCCTGCTCTCAAAACAGATACTATTAACAGCAATAAAATTGCAGAAATTGAAAGCTGAGAAGAATTTTAGAGACCATGTCTCTTAAATCCTAGGTTGTATATGAAAATGCAGAGCAGAAAATTGAGTTGCTCAGTAGCGGTGCCAGGCAATTTAAAAACAACCAGATTCTAAACACGTTTAAAAATATTGGATTATTAAAGCAAGGATGTGGTTGTCCCACTTCATAATGTTTTCAATTTCCACCACTCTTCAAAAAAAAAAATCTGTACAGTACATATTGTGTTTTTCAGTGTTTAAAATCCCCAAACATTTACTTTTCAATATTATTCAGGACACAGCGTTTTAAAAAAATCTGATCCGATACTGAAAACTATGAACATGGTAATGATCCGAAGACAGTTACCTTACCAGATGGAATTATTATAGGGAACATGCAGGAATGCACACCTTCCTGAGAGAGGCTAAGCATCTTGCTCAAGACACCAATAAACTCACTCACTAGTTCATTCATTCATTCATTCATTCATTCATTCACATGCTCACTTATTGTGCATTTTCTGAGTACCCACTATTGGCAGATACGGTGCTGCATAAAGTTAAATGAAATACATGATATTTTTCCCCAAGTTAACTAGTTAACTCATTATCTAAAATACAAGACTTCCTAAATTCTTCTTATAGCTCCATCCTGTCAAAAGTGACCCATGTTCTTGATAACCAAGTAATAGACAGATGTGCTTCAGAGGTGAGCAAGCTCACTGTTGGTCACAATACTCCTGTCCCCACCTCCCTTTCTTTATCTCTCTGCCGGTGGGAAATCTTTATGTTTGTGACGCTGGACACAGAAAACTAAGACCAAGTCTCCTAAGTGACTTCAGCTCTGTCTTTATCGAGGAGGAAATTCACACGTCACAGTCATATGTGCATGAGTGTGTGTTTGTATGTGTGTGTGTGTGTGTGTATACTTAAGTGCCTCAAGCCCAATATTCCTGAGCTCATAAGGACCTGTGACAACAAGCTCATGAAATAAGAATTCTTGACCTGACTTTATCCCAGGACCACAAAACTGCAGCGGGTTGGAGGGGGTCTATGTAGTCTTATGAAAAATAAAATAAAGGGCTAGGGAGGTGGTTTAGTGGGTAAAGTGTTCACCGTGCAGGCGTGGGAGCTCAAGTTCTGTTTCCCATAACTCACAGAAAACACAGGCACAGCGGCACATGCCTGTAACCCCAGCCCTGGAGGTAGAGACAGGAGGATTCCGACGGGCTTACTCATCAGCCAGTCTAACCGAAATGCTGAGCTATGGGTTCAATACAAAACCTTGTTTCAAAAATCAACCAATCATTCAGAAACAGGCAGGAGGAGTGATCAAAGAAAGAAATTCTTACATCAACCTCTGGCTTCCACACACGTATGTGTGAGTGAGTGCACCCACGTGTGTACACATATACACCCCACACACATACACAACATTTAAAAATATTCTTTAAATGTGGAATTAAAAATGTGCATCTCCAACCAGGCATTTTTTTTCTAAGGTTTCAGTGGTTTTTGAGACTTACCCATACTCGTGGGCTGCTGGGGGGCTTGAGACTTGAGAGAGCTCTGCTCCGGAGCATCTGAAGCTGTTTCTTGATCTGCAACTAGAAAGGGGGAAAAACAAAATTCTGAAACCATTGAGATGAGCTTTAGCCACATTTTGCTCAGGGTCACAGAGCCAGGAGAGCAGAGCAGAGCCAGGCTGCTACCCACTTCTGGGGGTTGTGCTGAAACCCAGAGCCCCGACTCTGTGTTTTGAATCCGCACCATGCTGCTTGCCCATCTGCTAGGTGACCGGGCTGACAGTACAGCATGCTGGGACCCCTGTGTGCAAGGACATTTGGCAGTAGCAGGCAAAGGGCATTTGCTGTGTCCTTCTGCACACACATGTCTATCTGTTCCTCTGTCCGTCCATTTGCATATGTATATTTTCCTGTTTCCATAGAAAATATACTTCCATATCATTGACCCATTTCTCCAGGTGCAGACTGAGCTGAATCTCAATGCTATTATCAGCATATTCCTCAGTGACATGGGCAAGACGCTTAATTTAGCCAGCACTGAATATTCTCCCATATGTGTGAAATACAGTTGCTAGCTTTTACCTCTTGTGTGCGTGTGTGCATGCATGTGTGTGTGAAGTAATAACTCCATTCACATAAGGTGTTTAGTACAATGTCTGTTTACTAAGTGAGATGCTCACTAAATGCTGTTGTGTAACATAAATGTTTGTGGATATTTCCAGAGAGTCAGCTTAGATCATTTTCATCAGTCAATAGAAAGGCTGGCATCCAGGAAGAAGGTAAGTGTGCCATCATGTAACTGTGCCTATCAACTAAGATATTTGACAGATGGGTATTGTCTCCTGAACTTTATGGATGCTTCTCAGTGTTCATTAAATCAAAGAATTTTCTGTGGTTTAAAATTTTTATTTTCATAATTAAGCATATATAATTTTTAAACAGGTGTAAAAAACATGAATTGTGGGTAGAACCTTTGAGGAAGGCAAGAAGAATTACAGAAAAATCATTAGAGAAACAATATTCCAGAAGTTCCCTTTACCCATGGTGATGCAGTTTTGTTTGTTTTTTGAGACAGTCTTGCTATATAACAGCTTTAGTTGGCTTGGAATTTGCCATGTAGACAAGACTGGCCTTACATGTCTGTTGATTCTCTTGCTGAATTATTATATACTTATTTCAAGCAAGAAGACTTGGTAGAAACAACTGAATGCAGAAACTGTTGAGGACCATATTGTTTTCTATTAAGCCAGACATTGGGGAATATTTAAAAAAATAAAGAAGTAGTCATTTTCTCACATGTGTTTGTAACATGGTTATTTTTCCATAAAATTATGCTTTGTTATGGAAATGTTTGTTAACATAGAGTAGACTTATTATTTTAAAAATGACTTAACCATGTATTTTAAATTTCTCAGTTTTAACTACTAATAGGTAAATATTAACAGAGACAATTCGAGTATATAGAAGTTCTTTGTGATCCTCAGTTATTCTCAGGAGTGTGAAAGGTGGACTGGGAGATGACTTGGCTGGTCAACCGCCTGCTGCATAGTGTGGGGACCTGAGTTAGCATCCCCAGCAACCAGGTACCAGCCAGAACAGCACCAGCCGGTGCTCCCTGCACTCTGAGACAGAGACAGGTGGATCCATGAAGCTCACTGGACAGACATTCTCACACCAGTGACCCCCAGGTTCAGTGAGAGACTGTCTCAAAAAGTTAGGGTAGACAGTGACTGAGGAAGACACGTCAGCCTCTGGTTACACATACGTTCACCCACACCTGCACCAGCAGACCATACACACACACACACACACACACACACACACACACACACACACACACACACACACACACGTGTGGAAGGTGATTACATTAAAGATGTTTGAGAGCTGGGCCTCAGTTCTGTAAAACTCCACTCCCACACTAGTGATGGGAACCAAATGTTCCTCCTTTGCAATCAGATGAAGCAAATCAGTCTCCAGAGAATTTAATCCTTCTTCTTACTCCGTTCTCTAGAAACATTGCGTATTCCTAGATGTGACACATTCCTAGGACCATTCTTATGTTCCCTGCACCCCACCCAGAAGATAGTGTAGATGAGAGGGCTCAGAATGCTTACTTGTAAATGCGCTTTAAAGCATTCTCAGCTAGTAAGTTTTTTTTTTTTTTTAATCAATTGGGTGAACAAAATGTTTGTACTATCTCTGCGGCTCATCAAAGGAAAAAGATAATAAGCCAACAGAAGCCACTAGTTGCTGACACTAATGACCCACTTTGAACATTTGCTGGAAATCTGGAATGGTTCTAGATCATCAATAGGTGGCTGTGGTGGCTAATATTAGTTGTCAGCTTGATACACTTGGGAAGAGGGAACATCAGTTGAAGAACTCCTTCCATCAGATTGGCCTGCAGGCCTGTCTGTGGGGCATTGTCTTGATAGATGGTTGATGTGGGAAGGTTTACCAAAGGATGAGCAGCACCACCCCTTGGCAGGTGGTCCTGGGTTCTATAAGAAAGCAGGCTGATTAAGCCATGAGGAGCAAATCAGTAAGCAGCATTCCTCCATGGCCTCTGCTTCAGTGCCTGCCTCCTGGTTCCTGCCTTGCATGGCTGCCCTGAGTTCTCTCGATGATAGACTGTGACCTGAGAGCTGTAAGGTGAAATAAATCCTTTCCTCCTTTAAATTGTTTTGGGTCAATGTTTCAGCATAGCAACATGGAAGCACACTAGGACAATAGAGCCATGTTAGATGGCTCTAGATTAAAGACATCTAAACAGAACCATTCTTCTTACCCAAGTCTTCAAACCGGAAGGGGGCAACCAGCTTCCTTCCTTGCAGGCCGCTGTGCCGGATAATGCAGTGCACTGTTGAGTTTTTGCCATACGAGTGGACTATGAGCGTGCTGGTGGTGTTACAGGTTTTCCCATCAGCTTCAAACTCATGGTGGAGTCCGCCTACGCAACAAGGTGAAGAGACGGGAAAGGTTGTGGCTACGGAACTCTATTGGATGGTTCGCACGGCAAGCGGAACCTCAGTCTAACACTCAGACAGCTGCCTTGTGTGGATTGGGCGTGGGCAGGAAGACAAGCAGCATGCCGTGGGTAAAGGAGAGTGGGTAAGATCCTCCCCCTTTGTACCGGGGAGAAAGAGCAAAGCTTACGGGGGTTACACCAGAAAGGCAACTCACTGTCAGAAAACACAAAGGCCTCAGAGCGTGAAGGTGACATCGATAAATGAGTTTTATGATGAAGTGGACTGTGCTGGACTGGAAGACAGAGCTGAGTCTCAAGCCTTTTCTACCTAGAACTCTGCTTAGCCCTTAGCTTTCTAGAGTGTGCAGTCAGCAAAGGCAGCATCTACTAAAATGTCGGCAAGCACTATGTGTTTCCCCCAAGATCACAGTTGTCCTGCTTAAAACAAAGGTAGGTTCTTCATTCTTACAGTATTAAAGACATTTTACAGTATTAAAGACTCACTATGTAGCTCAGGCTTGCCTCAAACACACAATCCTCTTGCCCCCCGCCTTCCGTGTGCTGGGGTTGCATATATGAACCATAACACCCGCCTCTTGTTACCTTTTTGCACATCGGTCTCTGTATGTGCAATGCAGTATCCACATATGTGGAAGGCTTTATGTGTTTAATCACAGACACTCCCTGACTTATGATGCCTTAGCTTAGGATTTCTAAAGCTTAAAACGTACAAAGGCACACCCAGGCACACTTGTAGATACAGGCAATTGTTCTGTGTTTTAATTGCCTTCAGCACAGAATTGAATAAAATACATGCACAGCTCGGAAATTTCTTTATGAAATGTGCTTTGTAATACATGATTTTGCTGAGTGGTAAGATAATGTGAGTGCTCAAAGTATGTCTGAAGTTGATGAGGTTGTTTGATGTTTGGTGAATTGAAGCTTTAAGATTTTCATGAAGAGATTTTTAACGTGCAGTGGGGTTTCTTGGGACACAGCCACTTGGTAAGCTGAATATCATGTGTACACATAATGACATGTTTCCAATTTTACGACTGTGAAAAAGCTTATGCTCCGTGTTATGCCACTTAATTTAGGGAAGTTTGTCAGTTTTTAAGAAGTATTATAGATAACTCACTTTATCTCTCTACTATTATTTAAAAAAACTCGTGATTTGAGATTAGCCCTTTAACATTAGACAAAATATGGATTGTTATAAGGCTAATTTCTCTGGAGCCAAACCTATGTATTGACTGGTGTCTTTGGGCACCTCTGGCCACCAGAGGGCGCCATAACATTTAAAAAGCTCTTGGAAATTTAAGCAAGAAAGAAAACAAAGAAACCTTTCTCTCCCCTGCTTACCATAGATCTCCATACCACTCCCCAGCAGCCAGGTGATTTGAGGAGGGGGCTTGCTCCTCTCTGTGGAGCATTGCAGTACAACATGTTTTTCACCGTTCTGCCTTCTGAGAACCAAAGCTTCCACAGTCGGCTTCAAAGGAGTCACTGGAAGAAAATTAATTTTTCTGTGCTGAACTAGTTGTAGGTGTGCACGTGGGCACAGGTCTGTAGAAGTATGTACAGGTATGTAGAGGCCAGAGGTAGATGTCAGGAGTACTCTTCGATCACTGTCTGCCACTGGGTCTGGAGCTCATGGATGCAGCTAGGCTGGCTGGCTAATGGGCTGCAGGGATGTACCCGTGCCTTCATCGGTGCTGGAGTTAAAGGTGGCCTGTGCCCAGCTTTTATGTGGGTAATGGGCATCCTAAACCAGTTTGTCAGGCTTACATGGCAAGCACTCTCCTGAATGACAGGCTTTCCATCCACCTGGTCTGCATATGTTGGCAAAGCACATCACCTATGAATCTTAGGGACTGCTATAGGGATAATTATTTAATTACTGGCCACATTTCTTGTTTAACTTTTCCCAGAATTCTATCGTGTTATGCTTTCAAAGAACCAAGCTGGCTGAGGTCAGAATGTTTGTTTCTGAGCATGTGACTAGTTCCTGAGGATTCTCAAAGAGACATCATTCGAACAGCAGTCTGAATGTGATGGGATGCTGCTACAACAAGCTTGGTTGCTAGCACACTAGGGAGAGATCCAACTTCTGTCACCAGCTGGCTTGTAGAAACAGACAAGTCCTACAGCTTCTTGGTATGTCAGCTGTGATGCAGAGGAGTTGGCCTTTTAGCTCTAAATGTTTGTAAGTTTGCGCAAATAAAGGGCAAGGTAAATTTCTCATGCCCCCTCCTCACATCAAAGGAACATTTCCATTATCAAGGACCCACTGGTCTTTTCTCTTTGTACTTCTGTCCTGGAAATCATTTTCAGCTGAACTGACTTCTTCCTTTTTCCAATTCTACTTTTGCTTTTTCCTTTCATGGAGAACCACACTTGTACGCATTTAGAGAATTCATCCAGACCTTGGGAAGGAACGGAATGACTCTGGGAAGGTGTGAGGTTTGTTACTTGTTGGCACCACAAAGATGGAAATGAGAGGCCCTTCGAGGAACTAACAGTCTGGCTGTGGACTCAGGTCCTCTGCTTTTAGAAGGTTAGTACAGTGGTAATTCCTTATTACAGGAAAAAAATTTAAAACTAAAATATCAAGTTTAAAAATGGTTCGTTGTGGAGCTGGAGGGATGGCTCAGTGCATAAGAAGGAGTATTGTTCTTGCCCAGGACCTGTGTTTGGTGCCTAGCACCCATGTTGGGTGGCTCACAATCACCTGACAGCTCCAGGGGAACGTGACACTATCTTCTGGCCTGTTTGGGCACCCACACTTTATGCCCACACTTTATCCCCACACAGACACATAATTAAAAATAAAATAAATCTTATAAGAGATTCATTGTAAAGTGGGCTGGGGGATGTGACTCAGCAGGTGGAGGTACATGTCAGCCCAACAACCTGAGTTCAGTCCCCAAGATCTGTGTGCTGGAAGGAAAGGCTGATCCTTCAGATGGTCCTCTGCCCTCTGTGTGAGCCCATGGTACATGCCCCTCCTCAGATAAGTTTTGTTTATTTGTTTGTTTGTTTGTTTGTTTTCCAAGACAGGGTTTCTCGGTGTAGCCCTGGCTGTCCTGGAACTCACTCTGTAGACCAGGTTGGCCTCGAACTCACAGAGATCCTCCTGCCCCTGCTTTCTGATTGCTGGGATTAAAGATATGCACTGCCACCGCCCAGCCTCAGATGAATTTTTGAAATTAAATAAATGAATAAATAAAATGGTGCATTTTGCTCATCACTCTATCACACCCATGGAGAGTTACCCTGCTGGGAACATACCTAACACAATCACCCTCACTTGGTTCGTCCTCACGGAACTTCCATAGTGTAAGCACTTATACAGGCCTTCATCCTGCAGAGTTACATTGGGCACCCGGATGGAGAGCTCTGTGGCCGAGTGGTGGAGAAGCTGGTATTTGGAACTTTTTAAAGCTGTGCAAGAGGGAAAAGACGTTGTTAGGAGGAAAGCTCACTCACAGGAGAGCCTGCCTCTGCCTCCCCGGTGCTGGGATTAAAGGGCTGTGTCACCACACCCAACTTCTGTTGTTTTAATGAACGATGCCCGGCCATAGTTTGCTTCTTGAACCTGATGCTTGTGTGGTTTTGCCTTGTCACAACAAATGTCAGCCATGGAAGATAAATACGCCAGCTAAGTGCCTTCAAATTTTAATTTAAAAAAATGTTCATTACAATTTGAAGATTCCTGCGGATGTCGATCCTTAGTCCTTCCAAGGATTTAGCCGATAGTACAAAAAAAAAAGCAAGCTTGCAAAGTTCTAACTAACATGGAGGGTTCCTCTTGATTTGATTTTACATACCGACCTGGGAATTTCATGTAAGGTCAAAGCTCCCTGGGCAAAGCAGAAGCTCTGAAAAGAGCGATTTTGTTGATTTGCTCTTTAATCTGTTAACGGTGCTTAACTAAGTCCACAGAATAAACAGAGTTAAAGCTTGGATCACGGCCCAAGGGAACATTTGTAATCCGGAAGGATGGCTGGGCCTCTTGGGGCCTGATGCCTCCCGAGCTAGCACTCTGGGTTTTCAGTTTCACCTCTGTTGACCTTGCAGTCCAGAGTTCTTTGTTGTGGCGGGCTGCACGGTGAAGGGTGGGTTGTTAGTGCATGCCTGGCCTCTACCTCCCAGATTCCAAAGCCCAGGACCCCCCCCCCCCACACACACACACACTCCTACTTGTAACGACCCCATCAAGTTCTCAGTCACTGCCAAATGCCAACCAGAGGGCAAGACGACTCCATCTGGAGGACCTTGGTTTGGATTAAGGGGTTTTACTGCAGAGCTCCAGAATGTCTCACTGCCCATTCTTCCAAAGAAAAACAAACAGAAAAACAAAACAAGACAAAAAGCCCTTCGTTGAACAGAACTATTCCTACTCAGAGTTCATTTCTCCACCACTTTTCTCAACTTGTATCTACTGAGTCTATCGGACTCCACTGTTAACAGCTGGTAAAGCAATCTATTTGGCTATTTGATATCTAATGTATCAATTAAGCAGTATTGACAAAGCATATCTATTTTTTAGTGGCTCTATTTATGAACATAAATGGAACTTTGCTGACTCTGATTTTCTCGAGTACTTGACATCTAGGGCTATTAGAGGTATCAAATGGTCTCTTTATAAAGAGTCTTTGGTAAATTCCTGTCTAAGGTCCAAGCGACTCGTGAAGTTTGTCCCTTTCTCTCTCACACAAGAAAGGTGTGACCGTCCTTCTGACTAAAGGGCATTCCATCAGTTTCCAGTGCCTAGAGATCTTGGTGTTAAGTCCAACCGGGGCAGACTTGTGCTTGGTAATGTGACTTCGCTGCTGACTCCAGACACGAGGTCATGCGTCAGCTTCACAGGAAGGTCCACCAAGGCAGCCTGCTGCCTACCTATGGCTTTGCTGTGGGTGTTTCCCGGCCATTGAGAGTCAAAAAGTGATGTGGGGGTGAGAGATACAGCCGTGGAAAGGTGCTTTGTAAGTTTGAGCCCCCTTTAACAACCTTTCTGATGGGGTTTCCACTTCAGACTTCCTGTTCCCCCCAAAAGCCGCTCTGTGTCAAAGAACAGGCTTCAGGGGTGTGAGTCACGTGTAGCAGTGGGTGGGCTGAGCCCACCCTTGGGTGACTCATGTGGGCCTTGGTGCCACTGATTTGCCCCAGCTGGAAATCCCTTAGGTTGAGGTTTATCATTTTTTTTCCCTCCCCTCACCCCACTTACCAGGATGTTGATTAAAAAAAATGGTAAACCCGGAAGGGGCCAGCCACTGGAGAGAGGCATTCTGCGTCAGAGAAGTTGCACATTTTAGGGTGAGTGTCTGGCCTTCCTCCACTGTGATGGTTTCCATGGTCAGCGAGGCTGCTGTGGAAGGAGAGATGGGAAGGTCAGCAACATGCATGTGTGCATGAGGTGTGGTGGTCAGAGGAGAGCCCTAAACACTCAGTTCGCACCTCTGCCGAGAGAGTCCCGTGATGGAACTAAGGTTGTCGAACCCGGTAGCAAGTGCCCTGGCCGCAAAAGCTCTTGCTCAGCCCCAAAGGAAAGGTCTGTTGCTCACTTTACAGATGAGTAAATCCATCAGGCTCAAGGTCACAGAGGTCACAGGACTGAATCTGTACTCAGGGTGCGTACTTCTGTAACCACATAGGCCTATCAGAGTGATGGACCCCCAGAAAACAGCATTGATAGCCTCAGTTTATAAAATGGGTGATTTGCAAGTTTAAGTATTACGTCAGCTATCTATGATCCCTGGTGCTGCTCAGTGGGAAGTGCTTCTTAGCAACGGAGAAGCCCTGGGTTGAATCCCCATCACACATGCACACATACACACACACACACACACACACACACACACACACACACACACACACACACTACACGCTCTGGGATGCTCTAGTGACTTGTTGGGGCTGTTGGTCACTGGGAGTATATAGATCCACCCCAGATAGCTTCCACCACAGGAGGACTTTCTCTAGCAAATGTAAGAGTCTAATTTCCCTGAATCACACTCCCCAGAGAATAATGAAGGACTGACTCTAAGCAGTGACAAATTTATTGTTCCAGAAAGAAAATAAAGGAAGAGTAAACTGGTTTTTACTGAATCGGCACATTCATCATCGTGCATTATTGCTTCAAGTTTTAAACTAAACTGTTTTTCCTTGGTATAATATAATTCTTACCCAGGAGGGCTTCAAAACTATCCAACCAGAAGAACACTGTGCTTATAAATTATCAACAGCAAATGCTTTACAGCCCTATCTGCAATCTAAAAGTGAAAAAAGGGGGATGGGTAGTTTATTTCCTAGTGATGCACACATTGTAAAAAAGAAACTTTTTTGAAACAGTGTCTCATGTAGCTCAGACCGACCTTGAACTCACTACATAACCCACGGGGGTACTGACTGCCTCTGAACTCACTCTGTAGCCCAAGCCGGCACTGAGCTCCTCCTGATCCTCCTGTCCCAGCCTCCCAAGTGCTGGGATTACAGACACCAGCCACCATACCCAGCATCCTCAAAAGAATTTTAAATATCAGGAAAAATGCTTTGGATCGCTCTGGGGACTCAGGAGTGCAGCCATTTTGTGTGCATTCCGTCTCTAGTCCTTAATTTCCATGTAGGCTATAGCAATAATAACCCAACATTTTTGTCTTGTGTTCACACTTCTTTTCATGGGAAAACAGTTGGTTTTAGCCCTAATTGACAAACACCTATACTGTCAGCCAATGTGGAGAAAGAACGATGTGTCCTTGTGAGGCTGAGGGATGGCTTAGATGTAAAGCACTTGCCATGCAGTCCTGGGGATCTGAGCTTGGATCCCAGCATCCACTAAAATATATATAACAAGCACAGAGTATTCATCTGCAATATCCCAGTGGAGGTGGGGACAGGTGGACCCCTGGGGCTTGCTGGCCAGCTAGTCTAGTGGGATAGTGGGATAGATGAGCTCCAGGTTCAAAGAGACACCCTCTCTCTCTCTTTCAAAAAAAAAAAAAAAAAAGAAAGAAAGAAAAAAGAAAAAAGAAAAAGAAAAAAAAGTAGAGAATGATGTTGAATACACTCAGTGTTTACCTCCAGCTTCCAATCCCATGTACACACACGCCCACACATATGTGTACACACCTATTTAAATATGTACACACAATCACATACAGATTTGTGGAGCTGGGGACACAGCTCCAGTGGTAGAGTATGTGGGTAGCATGCCACAGGCCTCAGCTTCGGTTACTAAGTAACTAAGTAACCAATCGAGACATCCGTGTTTTCAGAAATAAGCAATGAGGAGGCCTGTAGCCAGAACGCTGCTTGGGTTGCCTCAAGGGACATAATTTCCTGCTCACGAATTGAACAGAGTCGGTAGACTCTTGCAATGTCGTCAGATTGTGATACACTGCACTGTGGCTTTTTAGCACAGGCGAAGGTATTATTCACCCTGAGATCAGCAGCAGCTGCTCTTGCTGCCAGAAACTTAACGTGTGGGGCTGCCAGTCAGACGGGTCACGGTCACGTTTATTGACACCTGAGATGCAGACGGGAAGGTCTACGATTGAGGTGCCGAGCTCGGCTGAGACACCACTCCTTGCTTTACTGCTCTTATTTTGGCCCCGAGTTGGATCCTGCAGCAGGAAGTTGGTGTAGAAAGGAAGACTAGTCCCCTGTGAAGCCGCAGGCCCACCCAGCTTTGCTTAAAATAATACTTAAACGATTACTCGGGGTGCCTAAGCTCTGTCAAAGGGTGCGAGAGGAAGAAGCTGTCCAGAGGGAGAGGCCTTCCGAGGAGAAGACATCCCCGGTCCTCCTCCTGCCGGTGGATCCTGAATGGGAAGTTCGGCTGTCTTTTCACTTTCTTTTACCTCAGTCTGCAGTCCAACTTTCACCTGTCGTCAGAGCAACGAGGTGTGGGTTTTTGTTTTTTTGCTTACCACTTCCTCCCCGTCAGTGCTAACGGTACACTGACAGTATTCTCACTCACTCTTAACTTTTCTCATGCCCTCCACGCCATGTGCCAGCTTCCTACTTCTTCCCATCCGGCCTGTAACATTCTCATCTGTAGATCAGTCCTAGGTGGAGCTCAGTCATGGATGGCTGTAATGTCTTACCACCTCCTTCAACCTCAGGCTGTGCTGACTGGCGGACTGTCTTCTGGGCTTTGTTATCTCAGTGACCGGATGCATGCAGCCACTAATGGCCATGTGTTACGAGGCCACACTTTGAACCTTTTCTTATGGACTGTGTGGTTAGGAGATTTGTTACATGTATTTATTCATCTATCTATCTATCTATCTATCTATCTATCTATCTATCTATCTATCTATCTATCTATCATCTATCATCTATCTATCATCTATTTATCTGTCTATCTAACTACATACATACTTATTCATTTCCCTCTCTCTGCGTGTGTTTATGTAAGGATGTGAGTGAGTACATCATAGCGCACATGCGGAGGTCAGGAAACAGCTGGTAGGAATTGCTTCTCTCCTTTCACCTTGTGGACCTCTTGGATGCAAACCAGGTCAGTCGTCTTGGCACCATGTCCCATAACCCACTGAGCTGTCTGTCTCACAGGCCCCCTTCCCCCTCCTCATCAAGTGTACTTAGTGTTTACACAGACTTGGAGAGTGTGGCTCGCTGCATACTCAGAGCGTGTGGTGATCTTGGGGGGCCACAGTGTATGCAGTCTGCTGTAGAGACATGATAGACAGAGGCTTGCCAGTACTCTATCATGCATGACTTTATAGAGTGGGGCTTGGACTCTTCATCATCTCTTCCCTCTCACAGGTAAACTAACGGTCCTGGACTTGGAAGACGATGGCTCAGTGGGTAAGAACATATGCTCTGCAAGCATGAGGACCTGAGTTCAAGTCCCCAGCACCCACATAAAAAGAAAAGCCAGGCATGCCTGTGTGGTTTGTGTGTGCTTGTAACCCAGGTGTTGGGGATTCAGAGACAGGCAGATCCCTGGTGGTAGCTAAGGCGAGGCTGGCTGAAACAGTAGGCTTAGGCTTAATGGAGACACTGTCTCAAGGGAATGAGGGGGATAACATTAGAGGAGGGTATCCAGTGTTCTCTACTGACCTTTGTATTTGTGCACCAGCATACACAAGTGTACTCGCATACACACACACACATGCACACACACGTGCACACATGCTTGCATACACACACTCTCTCTCTCACACACATACACCACCCACAAAAATAAACTAATGTTACTGTCAGTGGATGGTATCTCATCAAAGCACATGTGACTAACTTTCAAGCAAAGGGTGAGTAGTAGTCACGCCCAGAAGCACACACAGGGGAAGCCAGTGCTTTCCTAAGAACCCTTGGCCCTTCCCAAGGTTAGGGGAGAGTTGCTGTGGAGGGTCTTTCTATAGGTTATCAGAGGGACTGAAAAAAAAATGGTCTTTTTTAAACATTGACTTATGCCCAATTGTTGGATGTAATAAATTCAAAATCAAAGCAGAGCAAGTCTGTTGCGGGGTCCCAAACTCAGCATGTGCAATTGAAATCTGTGACCTGTCCCGTTCCCTGTGTCTCTTGTGCTCTCATAACTAATACAGACATGCCATAGGCTCCACCCCAGTGTTTCCTTACTTAGTTAATGTGGTCACCAGCCATGGCATCCAGACATTCAACAAGCACACTAGACTCTCATTTCTCCCAAGCACTGATTGAATCAACCCAGTCTTCCTTTTCCCACTACGGCTGTGGCCTTGGCTGGGGCTCCCATTGCTTCTTGCTGGACCGTTCCGACAATTGTCTTCTGGCTGTCCTTCCCTCTAATTCACCATCCATTAGCTTTTAGACTGACATTTAGAAGACATTATGCTTTTCCTTCACTTAAAATATTTCCTGGGGCTGGAGAGATGGCTCAGCAGTTAGGAGCATTTGCTGCTCTTCCAGAGGAGAATTTAATTCCCAGCACCCACGGGTGGCTCACAACTGTCTGTCACTCTAGTTCCAAGGGATCCAATGTCCTCTTTGGTTTCTGAGGGCATGAGGCATGCATATGGGGGCACAGGCATATATGCAGACAAAACACTCATATTCTTAAAATAAAATAATTAAGAAAGAGCATGAACTACTCTTGCAGAAAACTTGAGTTCAGTTCCTAGTACCCACATCCAGCAATTAACAGCTGTCTATAACTCCAGCTCCAGGAGAATCTGATGCTTCTGTCCTTCACTGACACTCCACCCATCCACCCCCATACCCCACATACATATAATTTTTAAGGAGAAATAAGGAATATTTAAAAGTGTTTCCTATGGCTCCCTTTGTATGTCGGCATCAGGCTAAAATTTCTGATGATTTTCCTCACGTTCTCCTCATGTCTCACTTGGTGATGCTCCTCCCAGATATTCCAGGTGAAGGGACACTTGTTGGGTCCTGGAAGATTCAGGCTGAAAAGCCACTTTTGCCCAGCTGTTCTCATGGCCTACACAGAGCCTTGCTTATCTCCAAGACCCTCCTTAGGGAGACTCAACTCATAAGTCCCAACTTTTGTCAAAACTTCCAAGTAGAAGGCTTCGGGGACTGCTCAGTGCTAAAAGCTTGTGCTGAGCAAGCAAAAAGATGGGAGTTTGATCTCTAGAACATGAATACTTGGTGGGGCTGGTGGCTCCTTTGCCACTCCCACACTCAGGAGACAGAGACAGGATCTCTGGACCAAGTTGGCTAGTGAGAGCAGCCATATTGGCAAGCTCTAGGTTTGATGGAGAGACCCTGCCTCAAAATGAGTAAGTGGGAGACCCTGCCTCAAAATGATTAAGTGGAGAGTTATCAAGGAAGATTTTCAATATCAAACTTGGGTTTCCACACATGTGCACACACATGTTCACACACATACATACCACACAATACATATAAAAAGAAAAACAAACTTGAAAACAGGCCTTTACCTCCTTCCCTCCGACTGACTGGATCTCTCTTCTACACACTCAAAGGCTTTGAGCGGTTTTACACCTAGTGCATTCCTTTACACTGTGTGGTTACAGGTCTGTCTCCAATAATGACTTACAAATGGCTAGAAGTGGAGGCAGTGTGCCATCCATTCACTATACACTCCCAGGGACTAGAAAAAGTTAGGTTTTTGGATGTTAGTTGAATTAATGGGCGAAAGAGACAAATGTAAATCTTCAGAGACAAATATGTTAACAGAACTCTAATTTTTCTCCGCAATTGTGACGTCAAATGATAGAGACTTGAACTGAATGAAAGCTAAAAATATAGTGAGTGAGTTCTCAGATCGGAGTCCTGTTTCTCTGGCTCTTGTGGCGAGTTAGGCAGAAATGTACTTCAGTGAAAACCATTACAAAGAGAGATTTGTATTATTTTTAGATAGACAAGGCAGAGAAACTGCAGCTGTGAAAATCAATTAGACTTGTCAAAATCAAATCATCTTCCAGACCATCATAAAGAGGCTGGCCTGACACAAGGAAACAAAGGAATTCTTCAGTTTGCAGAAGCCCTTCCCGCAGCTAGAGAAAAGGGTGGAAACTTGGCTGGGTTTGACCTTTTCCTCGGCCACAATGTGAGAGGAAGGAATTTGGAAAAACAAACAAACAAACAAACAAACAAACAACAAACCCAACTCATTCTCGTTAAGCTTTATCCACCCTAGAGATTATTCATTCCAGGAGCCTTGAAAGGAGGGGCAGGCTCCAAGATCTTGAAATTCTTTTGTCTGCAAACCTCTGGCAGCCTTAGAAGCCACCACAGTGATTTTCCTCCTGCCTAATTCGCTAAAATCAGCTGACAGTTTGCAGCTGCCTCAAAGCTGACGCTGACAAGAAGCAGCATGACCAGCTCCTGCCCACATGGGACTCTGAGGAGCCTGAGCAGGTTCAGGTTAGAGTGACCAGTGGTGGTTCAAATCCCACTGAGGGTCTGTGTCATCTGGGTGGGGGAATTTTGAGTTTGGGTTCTTTCAATATTGAATCTTTCAGATTGTCTAAGTCAGAATAAGCCCCGGGTTCTTCATCCACGTTAAGACACAGCTTCAGGGCTGGAGAGATGGCTGGGCAGTCAAGAGAATACTGCTCTTGCAGAGGACCCTAGCTTGATTCCCAGCACATCTGTAACTCCAGCTCCTAGGAAATCTGATGTCCTGGCCTCAGCAGGCTACATGTGCACATACGAGTTGCATGGGCTGGCAGACTTGTCTTAAGCTTATCTTTCTGTTTTCTTATTTTTTTGAGACAGGGTCTTGCCATGTTACACTGCAATTACTGATATCCACTATGTAGCTTAGATTGATCTTGAACTCATGGTGATCCTCCTGCCTCAAATGCTGATGTTACAGATATGCATCTACTGCCATGTTCAGATTAGGTTTAAGTTATGACTCTTTTGTTTCTGCTGTTTGTTTAAAAAATATTTCTATGGTGTATTTTTTTTTTTAATGTGGGAAAAGTTTGAAGCCTGGACAAGTTAAGGCCAGCTGAAGGCTTTAGACCTTGGAATAATTGAAATCATACTAATTTTGGCTGTCTAAATGTACCCTTTCAGAATGCATTAGCTGTTCTTTAAGCCACTTACCGAAGAAACTAATGTCGTTCATTACCAAAACAGAATCCTTGTTAAGTGCCTCAGGGTACAGGGAACGGAAAGGAAGGCACTAATTGAAATACACAGATCAGGGAATTGAAAAACTATGTAAAAAAAAAATGTTGCTCCCCACCCCGTCCCCCACAAAATAGCATCCTTCAGTTACCGTTCTGAAATGAATGCAAATGGGAGGGATAGGCATGTTTCCTGGCACAGAGCAGGAGAGTCACTATTGGGAAGCAAGCGAACACATGAAATTGAGCCATGGTTCTCTATACGTGGTCCCTTCCCATACATCTAATGCAAGGGCCATCAGAGACCTGTGATACCAGAAAACAATCCCTCACCCTTTCCCCAACTCTGGGGTAGGACTAGTTTGACCTAAGCTAAAAAGGTCACTGCATCTTTCTCTGATATTCATAATGCTATGGTAGAATTAGGCTTCAAAAACCAAATGATAGTAAAATGTAACCGATTTCTATTAAGCAAGTGGCTTTCAGAGCTGGAGAGGTGCCTCAGTGGTTCAGAGCACCTGCTGCTCTTGCAGAGGACTTGGGTTCACTGTCAGCTCTCCCATGGCAGCTCCAGGCCATCTGTAACTCCAGTCCCAAGAGATCCACCTTCCCCTTCTGGGCCCCTGGACACTGCATGCACATGTTACACAGACTCAGGCAGGCACAGCTCTCATCCCCAAAGGATTAAAAACAAATATATGTTTAAAAGTAAGCAGTTTTCACTAGGATAGTATTATCTCTGAAGTACATTAGAATTGAGTAGAATTAAGCCTCGACACTTCCAAAAAGTTTTTGCATTCAGGATTTTCTTATAATGCGGAGTTTGACAGTTCAAACTTTTATTAACATCTTCATCTAAAGAGGCAAAATCTGAATTTTAGAGAAATTAAAATATTTGACAAAGACTTATACACAAGGAAGTTTTGACTAGGCAGCTGGTTACATTTCACCATAACAGATCCACAAATGCATGCCATACTGTCCCTGTACTCTGAAGAGCAGTTAACAGGAGACAGAATGGGCACAGTAACTGGGTGTGTAAGTTGATACAGCTAGAGCAGTATTAGCAAAATGACCTGGGTTGTCTTCCATAGTAGTCTCTATGAACACAGTTGACTGAAGGTAGGTTTGGCGAAAATGTTAAGTCAGTTGAGCAAAAGAAGAAAAACACAAACCAAAACACCCATTCACTCTAACTAAGTCCTTACCTTGCAACGGGACCCAGCACAGCAAGCTGAGAACGCCCCACCACATGTTGACTGCGCTGAACCCTCTTTGACAGCTTCCTGTAGGTTCTAAAGTACAGGCAGGCTTTTGAAGGGAGGAGGCTGTAGCTCTGTGACCTTACATGGGCCAATTCCTCCACCCACTCTGAGCGCCCTCTTAGTTAGCTGCCCCCCAAACACCTCCTGGTGGAACATCTCGGGGACCACAGGTGTCAGATCCATTGTGGAGAGGTGTGAGTGAGGGCCTCATGGCAAATCCTGCTCCACCACAAGTGGGTAGTGATGGTAAGTCAGCTGACTGAGGCTTGGGGGGAGACAGAGGGTAGGAAAGGCGAAAATGTCCCTGTCTAGTGAGGTCATCTTTATTTTTCTTTTCTAGTTTATTAGGCAAACTATAGCTAGGTCATTTTTGCCTGACCTTCTTGAATATTTTATATTTACAACTTGGACAACAATTTCTAGTGATTGTAAGGGGATATATCAATTCATTCATTGGCTTTTGAAATCTGCACATTCATCTGTTTATCTGTCCTTCCATCTACTTACTAATCTACCCATCCATTCACCCTTCCTTCCATCTCTCCCCACATTCAACCAACTCTTTCTTTTAATATTTGTTTGTTTATTTATTTTACATCACAATTTCCTCTCCCTCCTCTCCTCCCAGTCCCTCCCCCCCATCCACTTCTCTGTTTCTATTCAGAAAAGGGCAGGCCTCCCATGGATAGTGACAAAACATGGCATATCAAGTTGTAGTAAGATGAAGCACCTCACCATATATTAAGCAACCAGTATGTGGAATTGAGTCCCAAAAAGCCAGTAAAAGAGTCAGAGACAGCCCCTGTTCCCACTGTTAGGAGTCCTACAAGAAGATCAAACTACATAACTGTCACATCTATGTAGAGGGACTAGGTCAGTCCCATGCAGGCTCCCTGGTTGTCCGTTCAGTCTCTGTGAGCCCCTATGAGCCCAGATTAGTTGATTCTGTGGGTTTTCTTGTGATGTCCTTGACCCCTCTGGCTTGTACAATCCTTCCTCCCTCTCTTTAGCAGGATTCCCTGAGCTCAGTCCAAAGTGCGGCAGTGTGTCTCTGCATCTGTTTCCACTAGTTTCGGGATGAAGCCTCTCTGACGACAATTGGGGTGGTCACCAATCTATGAATATAGCAGAATATTGTTAGGCATAATTACATTGACTTTTCTTTTCTCCAGTTGTGTTTGGTTCTATCCTAGGTCTCTGGGCCATCTAGCTTCTGGATCCTGGCACTGTAGGCAGTGTCAAGGGTGGGCTCACTCTTGTGGCATGGGTCTCAGGCTGGACCAGCCATTGTTGGCCACTCCCACAATCTCTGTGCCACCCCTTATCCCAGAACATCCCATAGGCCAGACAGACTGTAGGTCGAAGGTTATGTGGCTGGGTTGGTGTCCCAATCCTGCCACTGGTAGTCTTGTCTGGTCACAGGAGATGGCCAGTTCAGGTTACATATCTGCTACTGTTAGGAGTCAGAGTTTCCCTTGTACCAGGTTTCTACCTGACAACAAAACACCCCCTTTCCAGTTGTCTCTTTCAGTACTGTCGCCCATCCCCTATCCCTACCTGATGCCTCCTATTTCCATCCTCCCTACCCCCCAGTCCACCCACAAAATCTCTTCAATTTTTCCTTCCCAGGGAGATTCAAGTATCCCCCTTGCTGCCTAGCTTCTCTAGGGGTGTGGATTGTAGCATGATTATCCTTTACTTTATAATTAATATCCACTTATAAGTGAGCACATACCATGCCCATCTTTCTGGATCTGGATTACCTTATTCAGGATTTTTTTTCTAGTTCCATTCATTTGCCTGAAAATTTCCTGATGTCATTCATTTGAACAGCTGAGTAATACTTCATTGTGTAAATGGACATTTTCATTATCCATTCTTTGGTTGAGGGACATCTAGGTTGATTCCAGGTTCTGGCTATTATGAATAAAGCTTCTATGAACATAGCTGAGCAAGTGTTCTTGTGGTATGATTGAGCATCCTTTGGGTCTATGCCCAAGAGTGGCATAGCTGGGTCTTGAGGTACATTGATTCCCAATTTTCTGAGAAACTGCCATATTGTTTTCTAAAGTGGCTGTACAAGTTTGCACTCCTACCAGCAATGGAGGAATGTTCCCCTTGCTCTAAATCCTCTCCAGCATGACTTGTCACTTGTGTTTCTGATCTTAACCATGCTGACAGGTAAAAAGTGGAATCTCAGTCATTTTAATTTGCATTTCCCTGATGGCTAAGAATGTTGAACAATTCTTTAAGTGTTTCTCAGCTCTTTGAGATTCTTCTGTTGAGAATTTTCTGTTTAGATCTGTATCCCATTTTTTAATAGGATTATTTGGGTTTTTGATGTCTAATTTCTTGAGTTCTTTATATATTTTGGAAATCAGCCCTCTGTCAGATGTGGGCATGGTGAAGATCTTTCCCATTCTGTAGGCTACTGTTTTGTCTTATTGATGGTGTCCTTTGCCTTACAGAAGTTTTTCAGTTTCATGAGGTCCCATTTATTAATTGTCAATCTTAGTGTCTGCCCTATTGGTGTTCTGTTCAGGAAGTTGTCTCCTGTGCCAACACATTCAGGGCTATTCCCTACTTTCTCTTCTATCAGGTTCAGTGTAGCTGGATTTCTGTTGAAGTCTTTTATCCATTTGGACTTGAGTTGTGTGCAGGGTGATAGATATGGATGTATTAGCATTCTTTTATATGTCGACATCCAGTTATGCCAGCACCACTTTCAACCACCTCTTATATGCCTAAGATGACAGGCACGGGACAAAAATTTCTTGTTTTTTTTGTTGTTGTTGTTTGTTTTTGTTTTTAAGAAAAATATGCTCTGGTGAGAGATTTAAAACATACAAATAAACAATTTCAGTTCACTTCTCTCATTAATTGAGATAGACTATTTCATTTGCAATAGGTTGCTACAAATAAGTGAATATAAGGCTGAATGGATGCTCTGTTTGAGATGTAAACACTATTCTTTTAAAAAATGCATTTTTATATATGTAAAATATATATATTTTATGTATAAGTGTTGTACCTGAAAGTATGTCTGTGTACCTTGTGCGATCTTGGTGCCCACAAAGGCCAGAAGAAGGCATCAGATCCCTGGATTACAGGCAGTTGCTATCTGCCATGTGGGTGCTGGGAATAGAACCCAGGTTCTCTGGAAGAGCAGTCAGTGCTCTTGGCCACTGAGCCATCTCTCCAGCCCCAACACTACTCCTTTTATTCTGAAGTCTAAAAGGATGTTTGACATAATTTTCCTACAGCATTGAAGAAGATCTTGCTGTTACAGTTTAAATATGGAATGTCCCTGACTGGATGCTGTGCTTAAACTTCACTCTCCAGCTGGTCTGTGTGTGCTGTGCAGCCTTTGAGTCATGGTGCCTAGCTGGTCTACATGGTCTGTGTTGGCTGTGCAGCCTTTGAGTCATGGTGCCTAGCTGGTCTCCATGGTCTGTGTGTGCTGTGCAGCCTTTGAGTCATGGTGCCTAGCTGGTCTCCATGGTCTGTGTGTGCTGTGCAGCCTTTGAGTCATGGTGCCTAGCTGGTCTACACGGTCTGTGTTAGTGGTGCAGCCTTTGGGTCAGGGTGCTTAGCTGGTCTCCATAGGCTATTGGGAATAAAACATCGGAGGTCACAGTCATCTCTCGTTCTGGTCTAGCTTTCTGTTTTCCTGCCTGCCACGATATGAATAAACAGCAAATGCTGCTGCTGCTATGGGTGGTAACTCTCTGGTTACCATGCCACTCTAATCTAGCTATGATGGACTGTGTGTCTGAAGCCATGAGTCTGGAACCCTAGCTCTAGGGGTATCTGATGTCCTTCTAGATTCCAAGGGCACATGCACCCACACATGCACACATACACACACACACACACACACACACACACACACACACACACACACACAGAGAGAGAGAAAAGAGAGCACATGTGTATACATAATTTAACATTTAAAAGAATCTTTAAACAACAACAAAACTTTTTAATGTCACAAGAGTCCATTAGCCTCAGAAGTTAAGGACAGTCCCCAAAGGAAATGCTGCAAAGCAAGCTGGTGTATGACGTGTCCTTGTGGTCTATGAAGGCCTTCCCACTCACTCATTAAACTCCACTTCAGCCCACAGCCCACAAGTGGTCAATGGGGAAAAATTACAGACTGTGACTGTTCAGTGGGTGGAGAGAAATGATGAAGGAGGGCCCCGGTGGTCAAGGAGTACCTTTCAACTCTTTTCTAATGGAAGTGTATGTGGTGACCACCCTAAGGGTAGGTGGGAGGCCTCATTAGTGAGAAATAGTTTCCCTATTCCTTTTCTATGTACTTAGCTGGAACCTAACAACAAAAGATAGAGCAAGAAGAGGAAAATCGCTGGTCTTCATGTGTACTTGAAACATGCATGTGCATGGGAGACACCAGCCAGCGAGCACGTCTCAAGGAGGTGGCTTAGAACTCTAAAACAGCGTTTCCAGGAGGGAACAATGGAGTTTTAGAGAAGTTGCAACATAGTATAAAAGGGTGGTCAGTCTGGGGAATGTGTGGGGAATGAACAGCTAAGAATGGCTGGTTAATAAAGCTTTTTACCAAGTTCCTCTGGTGCCCTCTGGAGGCTGGGAAGGGCCCAAACTTGTCCCTGGCAAATGACCTGTGTCTTCAGAGCCTGAGGAGGAGAACACCTTCCTACACGGATGCCCTGCTTTTTAGCAAAGAAGGAGGAGGACAGAGACAACTTATTATCTTGATGATTATTTTTATCTTCTTCTTAGGTGCCTCAGCTCAAAACCATCCTTACACCAAAGAGGCACGTTTGGAAGGGACATTTTCTGGGAGAGGCCGCAGTTCTCCACAAGAACCACGGATGGTCAAGAAGAGAGTGTCCACCAATGTGTGACTGTGATTTCCATTTCACGAGATCTTTGTGTTTTGCTTCGTGACTCCCAGGGACTAACATTAGATGGGAAGACGAGGAGGGTCAGATTTCAGATAAGCAAGCA